CTTTCTTCCTTCCTTCCAACCTTCCTTCGGTCCTTCCGTCCTGTCAACCACATTTATTCTTCTTTGCTTCATTTCTTCCTTCCATTCTTTCTTCTTTTTCTCTCAGTTTTCAATCCTTCCTATCTTCCCATCCTTCCTTCCTTTCTTCCTTATTTCCTGTCATCCGTCCTTCCTTCTTTCCTTCCTTCATTTCTTCCTTTCAAACTCACAACTCAAACTTTCCATCCATCCATCTTTGTATTTCTTTGCCTGTTCAGATATTTATGTGCAGACATTTTTCTTCTTCTAACTTAAGTCTCGGAAAGTCTCAGCAACCTTCAGCTGTCATTGCCTGTGTTGTTGTCAGTATTCTCAGTTTTATTTCTTCCTCTGGTCTTTCCTGTCAAATGGATGCTGTATGGTTGTAGTAGCCTCCTACGGAGTTCCCTGAGCTCTTGTTATGACCTGCTTTATGTGTCCTGCTACAAATAGAAGTCATGTTACGCTTGGGTGGATCAGCCTTCTCAAATGTTTTCACCGCTGCACTGCCACACAGGCTGAGATTTCAGGCTTCAAGAGCAATATTTAAACTACACTGTGTGTGCGTGTCAAGCTGTTTGTTATGGTTCCTGCCTGTCCACTGAGTCTCTCAGCTTGAACATTTGCAGTCTTCCTCTTCTCGGAAGTTCACAATGAAAAGCTTGAAGATTGTACTTCTGATGTGCAGTCTGTGCAAGAAACTAAACATTTTTTTACTATAAATACTACAAATTTTTATACAGTTTATTCTTTTTAATTAGATTTATTTCTACTCTCATTTTCTCTATTTAAAAAAAAGACTTTCTTTATAGGGCGACGTGGTGGCTTAGTGCTTAGTACTGTCGCCTCACAGCAAAAAGGTTGCTGATTCGAGTCCCGGCAAGGCAATGGCCAGTGTCTGTGTGTAGTTTGCATGTTCTCCCCGTGTTTGCATGGGTTTACTCCTGGTGCTCTGGTTAAAAACAAAGGGACTAAACTGAAGAAAAATGAATGAATGACTTTCTTTATTTTATTTAAAGGGCACCTATGGTGAAAAATCTACTTTTTAAGCTGTTTGGAAAAACATATGTGTAGGTATAGTGTATAGACTGTCATATTGGGGTGATATAAACACACCCAGTCCTTTTTTTTTCAATTTAACAACATAAGAACGATGGACCAATTGGAGCGTTTTTTTGGACCAACCGTACTTGACTTAGGAGTGCGGTCCCGTAATTAACATGTCCTGTAGTCATGTGTATTTGCATGTCAAAAAGACCAGACGAGAGCAAAGGAATCGGGAATAAAAGCTCTGTTCAGTTTACTCAAATCATCAATCATCATCAAATAGAATCAAGAGTAAGTTTCACATGTTAAAAATGTTTTTAAAAAGTGCATGAGTGCAATGAAGTTCAGCGATTTACTTTAACTTTACTTCATTAGCACAGCCGCGTGTCAAAACAATTATAAAGAAAGATGCTTCAATCCTGGTTTGTGGACGTTAAATTTTTGTACATTAACATAACAGATATCCACACAGCAGTGGATATTAAGCTGTATCCTGCGTGCAAAAAGAGTGCAAAACTAAACGCGCTCTCTGTCTGTCTGTGCGTGTGTGTGTGTGTGTCTGCTGCGGTATGCGTGCATGTGTATTTGTGTGTCTGTGCGTGTGAACTTTGTAACGACATTGTGTGTGACTCATCGATGCAACTGCACAACAAATACTCATTGGTAAAGTTCTTAATGTAATATGTCTCACAAACTCTACGTCAGATCTTCTTCATTTAAGTCTATCTGTTGTCTAATGTAGCCGAGGGAGGAGATTAAGGCACGTAGAAAGGCATGTAGAAATGGAAGGCCGGGAGGACTAGCCTTGAAAGCGCAGTGCGACAAAACAGCCCCCTGGTGGAAAAATGTATAAAATAGGATCTTGTAAAAGGTATAATAAATCTGATAGGTGTTTTGAGCTGAAACTTTACAAACACATTCTGAAGATGCAAAACACTTATGTTAAATGTGAAAAAATAGGTAACCTAGGTGCCCTTTAAAACATTTGATTATACAAATTTTATTCACATTCATACATTCATTGATTCATTCATTAATTTTCTTTACTGCTTATCCATCATATGTTTCATGCAGCGGATGTTCTTCCAACTGCAACCAATCACTGGAAAACATTCACACTATTCACAACCTTCTTGCTGTAAAGCGATTGTGCTACCCAATGTGCCACTGTGCTGCCTTATTCATATTCATATAATATATAATTATATATATTCATTAAATTGTTTTTTTTAACTCATTACTGTTTATTCTCTTATTAATATTTCTTATATAATTTTATTTCCTCCTCTCCTTAATCCATCCTTTGCAAACTTAAAACATATAAATGATTTAGAGATATACATGTCATATCCATAACATCATACATCATACACACCAACGCCTCACATAATTACATGTACATTTATTCTCACTGTTTGTACTTTTGTTTTCTCTTGTTTATTGTCAGACCTGCTGTACAGTATGTACATTTGTGCCTAATTTATACATTTATTTTCTTCTTTTCTTTCTTCACGACCTAATTTGTTTTGATTAAAAAATACATATAAAAAATTGGAAATTAGCAAATTAGCTGCCTCAGTACACTGAAAAAAAGATGTCTGCAAAATTCTTGCAAACAGTTTGTGTTGAATTTAAACAAATTAAATTTAGTTATGTTCAACCTAATTTGTTTGTTGAAAATCAACACATATAAATTGTTTACAACCACTTAACTTAATAAAATTTAGTAAATCCAAGGAATCATGAATCATTTCATCATTTTCAGTCATGAATCATCATTTTCAGTGTAGTTTTAATGTCAATAAAAAGTGTGCGTTTACTTCTGCATTAATCATTTGCTTGTCACAAAAAGTTCCAGATATTGTAGTCTTGTATTGTAATTTAATGTGACCTGAACACAATAGCCTAGAAATGTGGTTCAGCATTTTTATGTTTGTATATTCCAGTAAAGATTAACAGTTACTAAAGTTTGCGCACTGTTTGGTTGTCTACTTGAAAGCGATTAACCTGTCTTAATCTTTTATGGAGCATGTGAGTTAATGTGTTTGTATGATCCGATAACTCTTTACAGCAGAGACGTGTGTTCAGACAGCCCCAGATGGATCCCATTGACACTCTCTCTTTGATCAGAGCAAAATCTTACTCTTGACCTATACTATAGAGAACAGTATCTGTTTGTACTCTGATTGTTTTAAGATTTGGATGGATATGTGAGGGTTGATTGGTGTGCGAGGCATTTTATTTAAAAAAATTTTTTGATCTGTCACAACACTTTTCTCACCAGAAGGCCTCCCATGAGTTGCTAAAAAAAAGCCAATGTTTTATAAAGACAAAAAAAACACTGCTGACAAAACACAACAATGTTGCTTCATTATTGAAGGACAATAAAAAAGCATTTATATTCAGTGCAAAGGGTTCATAATAGAGTGTTCCCATAATAAAAGTGTTGTCACCCAAATTCAAGCATTAATAAACATTTTTGGAGTAATTCGAATTCATCACAAAAGCTCATGTGTGCTTGCTTGATGTGTCATGATCAACAGTGACCCTTCCTGACAGATCACTGGTGATCTACAGATGCTACTAAGAACTATGTAATTTTGATTGTTGCCTTGTTTGTCATTGTTCCTGTTTTGCTGAATAGTATGACTTTATGCCTGTTTTTTGAGCACATTTTTGGATTTCCCTTTTTTTACCAGCCACTTCTGTTTGTCCTTGATTGCCTTAAATATAATCTTATTTTACCTGATCCTCATCCTATTTTACCTGATCCTCATCTTATTTTACCTGATCCTCATGCTGTTGTTCCTCGCTTTGATCCCTGCACGCGACATGATGTAGGCCAACCAATTAGTCTCATACTTGGATGTTACACAGCCCATTTGAGCATATATATATTACTATTAAGGGTGGGTGATATGGCAAAAATATCAAATCATGATTCACGATTTTATATACATTCGTTATCATGCTGGTTATAAAAATTAATTTAAAACTTCTCCCACTTTTATAATATATATATATATATATATATATATATATATATATATATATATATATATATATATATATATATATATATATATATATATATATATATATATATATATATATATATATATATATAATTTTGGCCTTAAAATAGTTTATAAAACAATGCTTTAAAAATTGTATTTAGAAAATTATTAGCCCCTTTTATTTTATTTTATTTATTTTTTTTTTTATATATTTCCCAAATAATGTTTAACACATTCAGGATTTCAATGAATCCTATTAATGCTGTAGCACGATAATACAATATTTTTTGTATTGTGGAGACATTTTTACAGCCATGATCAAAAATACTGTTGTTTTGAATTGTCAGAGTTCTGTGAATAGACTTAAAATTGAGACTCCCAGATTTCATTGAAATATCATTGTCTTCTAAAGATAAATGTATTGTAGAATGATTACAGAATTATAAACTAGATCTAACCCTTCAAATAACCTTAATAAAGAATGCTTGCTTAATGTTTCTTATGCATGAAAAGGAATATTGAACATTGAGTTGAGCCAAAGGCTAATGTACTCTTGATATAAATCTCTCCCACACTAACACACATAAATTGATTATTTAGTAATGAAATAATGTTCTAATGCTATGTCAGTACACATAAATGTTTAACTTGACTTCAAAGCAGGGATTATTTGTTGTAGCCCTTTAATCAGATATTATGTTGTTGAGCTAGGTCATAGGTTCATTTCACAAGTATGACAGTACATAAAGAGTTGTTAATATTATATGCAATATGGATAAGAGTGACTGCCAAATGCATAAATGTAAATGCATTTAACCTTACCTATGAAAACAGTATTATACAATGATTGAATTTTAATTAATGATTGCTTTTTTACATTGATATATGTTAAAATGTATCTATCTTTATCTTTTTTAGCACTTGGACAGATCATGCTGTATGTAGATGGAATGAATGGGCTTATCGGACACAATGAAACCGTACAGTGGCTGTACACACTGGTTGGATCAAAGGTAAAGGACATTCGACGTCTAAAATGATCAATTAGTGTTTGTATTTCAATTCCTGTGGCTTCATGCAGTGAATGTAGTGAGTCAAGGAATGCAGATCAGTGCCACATATTAGGCTCTATTTTGACCATCCATGCGCAAAGTGCAAAACGCATGGCGCAAAAGCAATAAGGGCGTGTCACAATCCACATGGCGCATGATTCAAAAGGGTTAAGCTTATTATCTTAATGAGTTATAGGTGTGTTTTGAGAATAAAACAATCAAAGTCTCAGCTCCCATTCCCTTTAAGAGTCAGTTGCGTCGAGCCATAACACATTTGCTATTCACATGACGGACTTTGTAACTGAGCATTTCGCAAGTAAACAGTTAAACAGAGCATCTACAGCATGAGAATGAGAGATGAACCTCCTCATTATTAACTTTCGCTTACACTCCTGTGGATAGGGAAACTTCTTGTACGCACAGACATCCATTAGCCTAGAAATAATTAATTTTGTTTGTTAAGCGCAAAGATTTGTTTTAAAACTATTTCTAAATTCAGTTCTAATTTCCTGCAAACGAATAAATGAACAATAATAAGGAATGGTGGTCAAAAAACAGATATATTCTAATACACATGCTATAACCCATATGGTCTAAAACCTAACAGGTGGACAAATCTGAACTTGTTTTTAATAAAACAAATATAAATATGCACATAATAAATAATACTGCTAATAATAATAACATTATACAAAAGCAAATTGTTATGAATAAACTGAAAAAGCCCCCAGAGATGAAGAAGGCATGAAAGTATGGATTTTATATTTATATAGGCTAGAAAATAATATGTTTTGTAATATTTTAATCCTTTATATTTATATTCTATATACAGTTGAAGTCAGAATTATTAGCCCCCTTTTGGATTTTTTTTACTTTTTTAAATATTTCCCAAATGATGTTTAACAGAGCAAGGAAATTTTCACAGTATGTTTGATAATATTTTTTCTTCTGGAGAAAGTCTTATTTGTTTTATTTCGGCTAGAAGAAAAGCTGTTTTGAATTTTTTAAACATCAATTTTGGGACAAAATTATTAGCCCCTTAAAGCAATTTTTTTTTCGATAGTCTACAGATCAAATTATCAACTTACCAAATTACCCTAACCTGCAGTTAACCTAATTAACCTAATCAAGCCTTTAAATCTCACTTTAAGCTGTATAGAAGTGTCTTGAAAAATATCTAGTAAAATATTATTTACTGTCCTCATGGCAAAGATAAAATAAATTTGTTATCAGAAATACGTTTTTAAAACTATTATGTTTGGAAATGTGCTGAAACAATCTTCCCTCCGTTAAACAGAAATTGGGGAAAAAAATAAACAGGGGCGTTAATAATTCAGGGGGGCTAATAATTCTGATTTCAACTGTATATATATATATATATATATATATATATATATATATATATATATATATATATATATATATATATATATCCTTATCATATCCTATATATATATATATCCTTAATATTTTAATTCTTCATCATATTTAAAGATATTTGCGTATTGCTGTACATCCAGTTTGTAGTAAGCAATGTGTAAGTAAGGCGCATGGTTGTGGTCTATAGAACACTCTATTAGGCAACACGCCAGCAATGCGCCTCAACATGCCTCCTTTTTTAGATCAGAACACCTATGGGTGCACATATGAGCGCAAATGTATTTGCTATTTAAACAGCAATTTAAACATCAAAGCAACTCTTGCGCCAAGCTAAACCTAGCAAACAACAATTGCATCGTACCTTGTGCCACATTGTGCCGGGTGTATGATACGGCACTCTATGTTCAGAATGTAATGTTAATATATTACTTATAATGTTTAAAATTGTTTTAGTTACAATTTATTTAGACAAAACTGTATATATGTTAAATATAATTAATTGGTCACTTTATTTTGATGGTCCATTTGTTGAATTTAAGTTACATAGCATCTACATGCCAACTAATTCTCATTAAATTATAAGTAGACTATTAGGTTGGAGTTAGAGTTAGTGTTGCGGTTATTGTTAGTTGACATGTACTTGCAAAGTTTCTCATAGTCAGTTAAATGACTGTTGAAGGAGCAGTGTCAACAGATATTAAGCAGACAGTCTACTAATACTCAAATGGACCATCAAAATAAAGTGTTACCAAATATTTTACCACAAGCCATCATCAAATCAAATCAAAGTTTATTTCTAGAGCACACTTAATTACAACCTTTCGTCGACCAAGGTGATGTACAATAGCAGGACCAGGTAAAAAACAGCAATACATTACAATTAAAATAACGATGTAAAACAATAGCAATAACAGTAAAAGTTTCCTAGAAAGAAGGAATGTAGTATAGCCTGAACCGTCATTAGGGAATATTAAATGCACCCGAAAAAAAGATGAGTCTTTAACATCGATTTAAAAATAGATAGAGTGGGTGCTATTCTAATGTTAATGGTAACTCATTCCATAGCTTTGGACCCAGAAATGCAAAAGCTTTATCGCCCCTGCATTTGAGACAAGATCGAGGTATTTACAATAGATGGAAGATGGAATTTGATCTAAGCGATCTGGTTTGGGCCTTAGCAGTGATAAGATCAGAAAGATACGGTGGTGCTGGGTTAGGCAAGGTTTTATAAACAAAAAGTAAAATTTTATAGTCTATTCGGAAATGAACCGGCAACCGATGCAGTGATTGCAATATTGATGTGGTATGGTCATATTTGTGGCTGCTCATGAGCAAATTGAAAATAAATATTTCAATTCATTTTAAATTGGCCAAAATGTAGAAATGAGTTCATCCTTAGTTGTAATATTCAATGAAATAAAATGCATTATATCAAATGTATCAATAAAACACGCTTATTTATCGACAGCCATGCATACAAAATTATTGATTGGTTTATGACGTCAGTTATTTGAATAAATTCTCATACTGTATGCATTTCATTGTAATATTAATACATTTTAGTGGTACTGTTAAACCTACCCTTGAAGCAAAAGCAGATGAGAAACACTTGGTTTAAAAATCTACCAACACTTAGATTTTATTCAGATGTAATAAATTCAATAAAGGGCAAAAGGTGCATTTTTCCCCTTGTATTTATGTTCCTTTTAGCCAGTGTTTGCAAATGTTTTAAGTTAGGGCAGCTTCCAGGTGTGCCAGCTTGAACAATGCTCAAAGGGTGGCGTAGTTTTGCACGCAGTGTTCAGGATCGACTTTCCTGTTTTTCTCTGTATTTATGTTCTTTTAAGCCAATGTTTGTAAAGTGTGCTTTAACACAGCAGGGCAGCTTCCAGGTGTGCCAGCACACAGACGGTGGCACGGGTTCGCATGGCACGCACCATTGATTTTCTCTCTCTGTCCTATCCAGCCCTCTAGTGGCAGTTTATTAACAAATATGATCACGGCATGTGAATCTGTGTTTGTGTGTTATTGTTTTTATATAGGGAAAAAAAATATTTTCTTACTTAGAGTTTTAATCTTGTTTTGAGTCCAAATATCTAAAAAAAAATATATATATATATATATAAATAAAAAACTTAAATGTAGAAGCATTTTGTAGACAAGCATTTTGTAGACAATATTGTCTTGTCAGAAAAAAAAAATAATTTAACAAGTATGTTTCTCATTAAAACAAATAAAATAATCTGCAAATGGGGTAAGCAAAGTAATTTTGATTTTGCTTTGAAATAAGGTTATTTTGCTTACCACATTGGCAGGTTATTTTGCCTGCTTTTGGTAAAAACCCACTTAATTTTTACATATTCTTTCTTAAAACAAGACTATTTGTACTAGTCTAGAAAATGCTTCTTGATTTAAGAATTTGTAGATATTTGGACTACAAACATAACAAAAACTCTCAGAAAAGCATTTTCTGCCTTGTGAATGCAAATAGACACATTGAAACCTTTGTCACCTTGGGGAACTAAATTGAGGTCACCACTGTTAAACATGCTCATTAATTGTAATGAGTTGCGTAAATTTAAGTATGCTAATGGTTTTAAAAAGCAAATAAAATGCTGTACGAGACAGACTAAATTTATGAATCCAATAAAATGTTCATTCAATAATTTTCTTTTTGCTTATTCCCTTTTCTTTTTGCTTAGTCCCTTTATTTATCTCGGGTCGCCAAAGCAGAATGAAACGCCAACCTATCCAGCATATGTTTTATGCAGTGGAAGCCCTTCCAGCTGCAACCCATCACTGGGAAAAATGCATACACACTCATTTACACATATAGACTACAGACAATTTAGCCCACCCAATTCACCTATAACACATGTTTTTAGACTTGTGGGGAAAACGGAGCACCCGGGAGAAACCTACAGTATGTGAACATGGGGATAACATGCCAACTGCACACAGAAATGCCATCTGACCCAGCTGGAGAAAGAACCAGCGACTTTCTTGCTGTGAAGCAATTGTGCCACCCACTGCGCCACCGTGCTGCCTCCAATGTAACACAAAACATAAAAATTGAAAGGGCCACAATTCAGATTAATGGGCTGAATGCACAGTTAGTGTTTTTCAGCCAACGGTAAACTTTCGATGAAAGGTTAATGGGACTGTTTTAAATTTTATAAGGTTAATTTTACAGCATTGACATCGTAATGTAATTAAAACTCAATCAGTTAAATAAACTTAAGCATCCATTTAGTTGCAAAATCAAAACTAGATGATAGACCATGTAAACTCCATCATTTTCATATTTTAAAAAGATGGCAGAAAAAATTGGAAATTAATGCAGTGTTTCTTGCCCAGTATAAGACCCACTTTTTATTGTACATCTATCAGGCAGGGAAGTCTAGTGATTTTTGAAGAAATCCAACCTTAAACGTGGCAATTTTCTAATGGAAACACAGTTTACCAGAAGCTGTTGGGCTGGGTGTCTGAAAATGAAAAGTCTGTGTGCATATGCCCAATAGCACGACATTTAAAGTAGCTCCTTCTGTCAGCATGTCAGAGGCAGTTATCAATATCCTCTAAAGTTTCCCATTCAGGAAAAATTGTCAAGATGTTCTTTAGTTAAGTTAATTCAGTTGATTCGGTTTAGACAGTGTAAGATCATGTGCTACAGAATGTCATTTTATTGGGTGTAAAGGCAAATAATAAAATTAGTGTAGCATGTGTCGTTGTACAGAGATTAATAGTGTTTGTTTTTGCGTGTGTGTGTGTTTGCGCAGTTCCGGTTGGTTGTGAAAACTGCTATGAAGCTGCTGCTGGTTTTTGTGGAGTACACCGAGAGCAACGCACCTCTCCTCATCCAAGCCGTCAACAGCGTTGACACCAAACAAGGTAACATGCATTACGCACACAAAGACACACACACAGACTGCAAGTGAAATACTCTTATAAATTCATTTTAACTGCAATGAAAAGCTATGCTATTCTTATTGAGCCCAAGTTGATCCAGTGTGATGTCCACAGTTTGGCAGTTGATGTGTTTGTGGGACAGAGAATCTATCTTGCATGCAACTTAAAGCAAAAGCAGTGGGAAATCAACAAGTTAGGGTGATGATAACAAACTTTGAGTGATCTTAACTCTTTTCAAGATGGTAATTGCTCATATTATCAACCTTTGCACTGGCAGTGGGATAAATATGACTGCCAGCAAAGTATATTAAGAATAATGGTCTGTTCTGTGTGGGGTGTTGATATGACTGGTGCTACTGAGATAGGACAGCTAGTATGCTTTAATATTGTTTTAATAGTGTTATGTAAGAGGAAAGAACACTGTCTCTGGTCTCCCAGTGAGAGACAGACAGGCTGGCAGATGAAGCAGAAAGTCTCCTGCTAATAATCTACATAACAGACATTTTCTCCTCAAATACATGCAGCTCGTTTGTCTCTGAAACAGTCATATTTCAAAAATATCTACTTCAAATATCATTAGAAGTGTATTATACCACAGTTCCATTTGAATTCAGGTAAATGTGACCACTTTTACCTTTTACCACTTTTCTGATTTACAATTAGTTTTATATTTAATAAATAACTTCCTTTTCACATATTCACTTAATAATAATAATAATAACAATAACAATAATAATAATAATAATAATAATAATAATAATTCAGTTGTAAAAAAGACTTCCCCTTGCTCTGTTAAACATCATTTGGGAAATATTTAAAAAAGAGAAAAAAAATCAATGGGGGCTAATATTCTGACTTCAACTGTAATTATTTTAAAATATTTTCTTTGTCTCACAGAATTTAACTATTATGTTTTTCTATATGTGTCACAGTATTTTACTATTATGTTTTCCTCTTTATTTTAGTTTTGCTGGAATAATAAAGTAAAATTATAAAAAAAAATGTAAAAAAACTGCTAAGTTCAATATTATTACCCCTTTATTGTTCATATATATATATATATATATATATATATATATATATATATATATATATATATATATATATATATATATATATATGGCATTATATATATAGAGGCGTCCCAGTGGTGCAGTAGGTAGTCGCTGGTCGCTGGTTCGAGCCTCTGTTGGGTTAGTTGGCGTTCCTGTGTGGAGTTTTCATGTTCTCCCTGCGTTCGCGTTTGACCATTAAGATTAAAAAGTAAAAAAGTCCAGTTAGTAATTAATATTAATATTTGTATGGGATCTTATCCTACACTATGTAGCATAAGAAAAATAATGCATTTCAATTTAAATTAGGTTTTAGAAAATGTATTAAACATTCTTGATTTATCTTGTTAAGCTCAACTTTTTTTATTGATTTTCTTCTCTTACATTCATTAAGTGTACTCATTTTTGTACCATAATCTTATATATATTTTTTTTATTATTTCAATTTTGTGTAAATGTAAATCTAATAAACCATATATTCACAAATGTCTTGTAAAGGACCCCATAGAAAGCATCACTTTAAAATGGAGATATGTTATTTTTGGGAAATCCGTTTAGATGTTCTCATTTATATTTATGTAAATCTATCTTTAACCATTTTGCTTTTATGCATGTCCAGGCTCTAAGCCCTGGTCTAATGCCATGGAAATCCTTGACGAGAAAGATGGAATGGACACTGAGCTGCTGGTTTATGCCATGACACTAATCAACAAGGTACTTGAACAGTATTAAGTTTTTTTCTGATGCCATGACATGTTTGTGTTATATATGAATGTGTGCTTGTTTTCTCACGTGTCTGTGGTGTTTCTGCAGACATTAGCTGGTCTGCCTGACCAGGACTCCTTCTATGATGTGGTTGACAGTCTGGAGGAGCAGAACATGGAGGCTGTTGCCCAAAGACACATTAGTAGAAAGGGCACAGATCTGGACTTGGTAGAGCAGTTCAACATTTATGAGGTTAGTTAAGCTTACCCGGTAATTCAGCTGAAAACTGGAGAAGGGTCTGGCTGCAGAGTTGCACTTGCACTTTCAGGCCTGCACTCTCGTGCTTGCACTCTCTGGCAACCATGCTTCCTATCCAAGTGATGTCATTTATTTATTCAATCGACACCTGCACTCTCCTGTCACATCACTTGCAAGTTGCAACCAACACAAATAAACTGAAAGTTACCAGTTTGTTTGCATTGTGACGACGTTATCAAAAATATCTAAGTACTTATGTTGTATACCACGACAGATCCCCACCCCCCGAAAAGTGGTTTGTATATTCATTATATGATTATAATGCTTTAATGTAAATTTACCAAAGCAGGCTACTATTAATAATTAAACCAGCAAAGCTTATTATTTATTTTCGTAAACTATTAGGGCTAAAAATACACACAGAATTTTCTTCCACAGTTATGAATGATAAAAAACAACAGGCTAAAGCAAATTTGAATTTTAGTTTTTATTTTAAACATTTCAAGGAGTAGTATTACAACTAACGGACACACATTATGGACTTACAGCAATGATTCTTGAAGGACTTGGGAAACAATTTTTTATTCAGCATGTCCCAGGTCAATTGCAAACAAGAATGCAGATGTGATGTGGCAGGAGAGTGCACGGCTCGGTTGCATGACCTTAACCAAAAAATCCCTCAGTTACTCCTAGTAAAAGTTGGGTTGCAAGCAGAAAAAAAGGTCAACTTAAGGCTACCATTAAGTATTTCCTCTTAGTCCTTAGTAAGTTACAATTTCCTTATAAAACATTTAAGGGTCCTAATCAGCTCCCTTGAACAAATGACACTCAAAATGCAAGCAATCTCACCCAAAAAATGTTTTAGATAAAAGATTCACAGGACTGTAGATAAATATTTAATAAATATTTTAATAAATAATCTAATATATACAAGTTGATAAGTTAGCACGTTTGTGCAGAAGTGCATCCATATATAATCGCAGTTTCAGTGAAGCTTTGAAAGTCTCTAAATGATCCTAGCCTAGTTTTATAGGTACTTTAAGCCTAATGTCGAGATCGACTCGATAAGGGAATTTTTTCGACTCTGAGCTGGAGCTGTTTTAACTATGTTACAATCTGTTTACTTAACCATAGCAACTGAGGCACCCATCGCTGTATGCTGAATGAAACTACAGTGAAACGCTTAGTAAAAAGGCACTTAGGTAGGGGTGACAGATAAAAAATTTATTGCAACAATCTTACAGTTTTCTATGATTGCTTAAGCACAATTTTGAAATTAAGGTTAATTTTGTCAAAACAATTTCCACAATTTCCACATCCACACACACAAACAGCAGAACACATCAGTTATTTTGCAAAATGAAACACTTTATCAAAAACTTTAAAACAATATAACAAAAGACAATTTTGAAACTGTACAGAACACACACGCTTCATTCAATATAAGTCTAAGTCTGTTTGCTTCTTTTACATACTGCTGTAATCAATGTTAAACACTCGTATCATTTCTAACTGACTAATACTGATATAATCTGGGTTTGAATTGTTTCAGAGATATTGCTATAAAGTATATGAACATGCTAAATTCAACAAACAGTGAAAGAGTGATCTAAATATTGCCTATATTGCCTATCCTAACAAAACATACAACGATGTAAAGCTTATTTATTCAGTGTTCTTGTGATCTTTACATTTCAATAGCAAAAAGTAAATAAAAATCTCCTCCATCCCCTGTCTCCTGTTTACCAATCTTCTTCGACTTTCGTCCTCCCTCTTTCTCTTACTTTGACATTGCCTTTTATATTTATTGAAAACTAATATTTATAGCTATGCTATTGAAAACATATTTATTTAAGACTAAAATTTATAGCTATACTACTGTAAACATATTTATTGAAGACTAATATTTTTAGCTATACTACTGTAAACATATTTATTGACGATTAATAAAGTTTATACTTATTGCTATTTATTGTGGTTGCAGCTAATTGGTGTGTCTACAGTTTTGCAGCAGTGTGCCTGCACACCTGATGGCTGTGTTTAACTCATTGGCTCATGCTAATATTCAATTGAAGGCCTTTGCTTTGAAATTGCATGGAAATTTCATCATGGAATTTCTGTCAAAATTTTTGTGTCAAAAGTATCCAAGAGTTTTTAGTGATTTGCAAGTCACTGTGTGTAATGTTTTGCAAAAAGTGTAAAGCTGACTACATGCATACAATTGTGTAGATCTAGCCTAGTGCTTTACTCCTTCAGTGTAAGGTTTTGCTAGTTGTGGGAAAAGTTTAAATTTATTGTGGAAGCAATCATGAAAAACTGTAATGAAATCCCTTAACTCTGGGATTTCCCCCCCTCAGGGACACCCTTAAGTTAAATTACTGAAGGACTTTCATGCAAGTGGCCAATTGTAAATGACGTCACCTGCAGAGGAAATGGGATTGCCTGCAAGTGCAAGTCCGAGAGTGCAAGCCTGAAATGCAAGTGCAAATCTGCAGCCAGACTCTATTGGAAAACTGACGATCCTGAGGTTACATTCACTCTAAACTGATGCAAATATGACTTAAGATTTTTTTTTCAATCTTAAATTTATAAGAAGGAAATTAAATGATAAACAAATTAAATGTAGCCAAGCTAAAAGTAGTAAACCTGTGTATGAAGTGAAGTCAGCCCTGTCAAGTATGGTTTGACTCAAATTGATCCTCCACTTTTAACCCATCCAAGTGCACACACACACACACACACACATACACACACACACACACACACACACACACACACACACACACACACACACACACACACACACACACACACACACACACATACACACATTTTGAGCAAGAGCACACACACGAACATGCTTTGGACAGTGTTTAGATGGCATTATGTATTTTAGAGAGGCACTAAGTAGATTTATTTAATAAGCTGTATATAAGCGATTCTTCAACTACGAGCACTTTTAGTCTTGTGAAGTTGAGTAAAAAAAACTTTAAAAGTAACATAACATAGCTTCATAAGTTTAAACAATTTGTCTAATTTTAATAGCTGTAGAAGGACAAACTTAGATAAGAAGAGAAACATTTTTTTTTTCCATCATGAACTGAACAAATGTCAGTTCCACCACATCACCACATCTCACCACAACATTTTGTTTGTTTTTTATAAAAATCTTTGAAGGTAAAACATGTTTGGAAATCAAGAAGCATAAATGTATTTCCTTATTAAGCAACATTTACCTTGATTTTTCTTCAAGTGTTGTTAATAAAAAATTTTATTCCCTTCATCTTGGACATAGAAACCACCTAAATAATCTATAACACAAATTTTTTAAAGCGACATTACAGTGTTGCGGTGGAAAGAACACTTATACTGTGCAACAGCTATATTTTGTATAAAACATAATATTGATAATTGCCTCACATTAATAACTATAAAATATTTAAATTATTCCACTTTTTTGAGACTGCTTGTAGGGAGTGACGCAGGGAGTAGTGAGTGATATTATTATTTCACTTACAGTTTTCTAAAATGACTATGACAGTTTTTTCAATACATTTAACAAGTTTGCTAAACTCTTAACACAGCAACATACCTAAAACACAAAATTGGCAAAGCAGTTAATTTCATGCTCAAAATCACACATTGTAAATTAAACAACAAAACTATTTTCAAAATACAATATTAAACTAACACAATACACCATGTCTAACAAAACACTGCAAACATGTTTCAAAATCAAATAATTGTTCAAAACACTACCACATGTTCTCTTCCAACAGAAACATTAAGTCAATCATAACACATTGACAAAAAAGCACTATCATCAGCTGACATTACAGAAACTGCAGTATTTTATGTGTCAGGTCTGCCCTTATATTTGAAGCCTCTCTACATTTTAGGTTTGTTGGGTTTAGTAAATGCATGCATTTTGTTTCATATGCTGCAGAAATTCAATACAAAAAAGAACAACCATCTCAGAGTAGCTTTATAAAATGTACAGTTTGTGTAAAAAAATAAAAATAAAATGCAAACACAGAAATGCTGCAGTACAGACTTTATTTGCAAAAGGACATTACTGCAAGATATACACACAGAAAAAGAACCACAATTATAAAAAAAAACAAAACAAAAGTAATCTTCTATTCTGCCCGATCTTCTGCATTTGCCTGGCTTCTTCTTTACTGGCCCGGCACAGTGACTGTGGCCCTTTGGCCTATTATGTTTCTTCCTTGGCGACGCCTTTTCGCCAAGTTGAAGCCAGTCTCAATAACATAAACAATTTCATGTGGGACTTGATTGGCCTCCAACTTCATGACTCTCTGAAAGTAATTTTACACATAGTAGATATGCAGTACAGTACAGCATTTACACTATGTACTAATGAACTCCAGGTTTATAGAGTAGTTTACTACAAAACACACTGTGTATAGTACAGTAATGACTGTATTGCACAACCTTACCTGGACGTATTGGTGACGGAGTTCTCTGCGCTCACTGTCCCTTTCAAAAACCTCAAGAGTCCTCTTTTAGAACATACAGTATGATCATGTGATTGGAAAAACCTCAACACACCTCAACCTCTGGTTCCTAAATGGGAATCAGCTGTGATATATATAATATAATAAGCTGTTTCTTATTGGCAATGGAATAAAATATAAGGAATATATATTTGTGTTTCAATTCACAATTCACTTTGACTTTAGCCTATAAGTTCTGCTTAGAACATGTTATCTGTTCTGACATACTGTGTGAAAGCATTTGTAAATTTGACTTTAAAATTAGATTTTTTGGTCTTGGTTGAGCTTGTGTGTAAGAGAAGATTAAGCATTTTAAATTGGTGTTAACTGGATGCAATTTTGTTAACTGTATTGTCCACGAAGATGGATGTTGTGCTAACTACGTTAAGAGTTTAGGAAATTGGTAAATGTATTTAAAAAAAACTGTCATAGCCATTGTAAAAAAAACTGATTGCATTGTCAATCAGATTGCACAACTTGACAACAATAAAAGCATTTTAGGTCATAATATAAAAAGCAGTTAACAAGCTCAAAAAAAGTTGTTTTACTGCATGTAATGTTTTTGGTGGTATATTGTTGCAGAAATTAAAGCAGTCACAGCAATACACATTAATAATGCATGTTTCAGCCTTTATTTCTGATAAAACTGTAAAAAAGTAGTTTGACTGCAGTTTCTAGGTAAAATAAATGCTATGGAGCAGTATGATACCATCAACTTTTCATCGTTTTCACAATACAATGATATCTACTCATTATCATGAAATAAATGCTTATTTGTTTCCAGTTCTTTGCATAACACCAAATAAATAACACAAAACAACTTACCTGGGTATATTATTTGTAATTAAAAACGCTACAGTTACTAAAGTAACCCTTCTTTCCCCAGCTTTGTCAGAAACCAATCATCTGAAAGAGTAAAAAATCGGTCCAATGAAATGCTAATGAGTTGGTGGCGTCAGTGTGCAGAGCTGACAATCAGTCATAGTAAAAAGATGTGGCTAGTGCAATCCTTGACATCCTTTTGAGCTGAAGAGGCTTTCATGCTCCACAGCTAAGGGACAATCGTTGTGGCGAGGTACATAGCATTTCCGTTCCCCCCCTCGGAGAACGAAGGGTTACTTTAGTAACCGTAGCATTCCCCTTTGGATGGGAAACTCCAATGCTATGTGGAAACTTTCACTATGGGGAAATCAATGGAAAACTCCACAACGAAATAACCTTACCGTGTCCCTGGCGAAGGGTGTGCCACGCAGTACAGCGAGCGCACCTACAATGCCGCAAGATGCAGTCTCGAAAATAACATAGTAAGAGTCGAAAATAACATAGTAAAAAAGGGTTTTTAAATACCACAGTACGCTGGGACAGCATTCAGTCCCGATAGGGAGGACACTGCGGAGTTCACCTGCTACCCAAGGAGGGGAGACCTGATGACAGCCTGTGGACCAGCCCTGAAGGGGGGAGGATGATTAGCAGGGAGGGAAGACACGAGCGGAACAGCGGAGGTGGATAGCCCGGCAGGGAAAGCGGTTACGTTCCCGCCGGTAGATGACTTTGCCCATCGCATCCAACTCCTCCATCAACGCAGTGAACTCCTGGGTAAATTCACCCACGGTGTTGTCGAACAGGCCAGCCTTTGATATGGGCGAGTTGAGTAAGCGAGCTTTGTCAGCATCGCGCAAATCTGCCAGGTTAAGCCAGAGAGGGCGCTCCTGGACCACTAATGTGGCCATCGACCTTCCTAGGACACACGCAGCCGACTTGGTGGTACGCAGAGCATAGTCGTTGCAGTGCGGAGCTCATGGAGCAGGCCTGGGTTGGAACCACCCTTGTGCAGCTGGGCCAGCGCCTGCGCTTGGTAGCGCTGGTAGGTGGCCATAGTGTGCAAGGCGGGGGCAGCCTGGCCCGCAGCTCTGTAGGCTCTGTTTCCAGGGGAGGCAGATAACCTGCAGGCTTTGGGCGGGAGCTGAGGCGGACCCCACCAGGAGGATGTGCAATGCAGACATAAATTGACCGCAATAGCGTGCTCCATCTGGGAAATTGGCTAATACCCCCCTCCGCCATCGAGAGTGGTGAGGGCGGAGGCGGTCGCAGATCGGGCAGAGAAAGGTGCCCTCCAAGACTACGTGAGCCTACTTTGTACCTACGGAAAGCAGGGGACGGGAGGTCTACTAGCTTTCTTAGTGTCCTCCACGTAACTCCCATCTAGTCGGTCCACGAAGCTGGGGGATAAACCATCTCCAACCCCATGGCCAAAGCAGCACAGAAAAGCACGGCTAGCATATCCGCTTCTGGATCTGGAACCACGCTTGCCACCCCGAAGGGAGGGAGGGGGTCTGGATTCTCGTCAGATAGTGATAGCCCACCCTCCAATGCAGTGATGGACATCTCGTCCTCGTTGTCATCAAGCGAGAGGGCGACCATCATTGAAGACAGATCTCTTCTCTCGCTCAAAGCTTGGAAGGAGAGTGCTGAGGAGTGGGAGGTCCGCGAGCCCGAGGGCACGACCCTGTTGCTCTTTTAGGAAACTTGCTTCCTTATACAAACCGAAATCTTTGGAGGACCAGTCCCAAAGGCTGCCAGGCAAGGGAGAAGAACCCAGCTCGACTGTCTGCCAATGCGGGAACACGCTCTGGGCCAGGAGAAGCTGCTTTTCGATGTATCTCTGGTAGACAGCTTGAGGAAACCCTCAGTTACTCTCTCAGAAGCTTGTGAAAGGCTCTGAAAGCGAAAAGGATGTCGAGAATTGCACTAGCTGCGTCTTTATGGTAAGACTTGATTGTCATTGACGCCAGATGTGCACGCTGACGCCGCCAACTCATTGGCATTTCACTGGCCCGATTTTTTTACTCTTTAAGATGATTGGTTTCTGGTAAAAACCCTATAGTGGACGTTTCCACATAGCATTGGAGTTCCCCATCCAAAGGGGAACATCAATCTCCATATGAACACATTTTATAGTGTGGTCAGTTTGATCATTAGCCCCATTGGGTTTGAGTTTGGTGAAACACAGTTTGACAAAAGGGATGAAAGCAATGTACAACCAAGGTGGTAAAACATATATTTACTATTGAGAACACTATTGTTTGGGATTAGGTGAGGGCAGCATGGTGGCTCAATGGTTACACACAGTCACCTTGCAGTAAGAAGGTCGCTGGTTTAAGTCCCAGCTGGGCCTGTGTGCATTTTGTATCCGTGTTCGCGTGGGTTTCCTCCGAGTACTACGATTTCCCCCACAGTACATAGAAATGCACTATATTGAATTTAATAAATTAAATCGGACGTAGTATAAGTGTGTGAATGTGAGAGTGTATGGGTGTTTCCCAGTACTGGATTGCAGCTGGAAGGGCATCCACTGCATGAAGCATATTCTGGATAAGTTGGTGATGAATAAAGAGACAAAGCCGAAGGAAAATATATGAATGAATGGCTGAATGAAAGTTGTGGCTATGTGCAAAAATTATCTGAAGCATATGACAAAACAAAGTGCAAGTAATGTATTTCAGATTCACAATAATGCAGACATTTTCTTGTAGATTTGTTATCTGAAATGTGCAACAAAACATACTCAAAGAAATGCATTTTATATTTTGCAAAAATATGTAGGCTGTGTATTTATTTTCATTGTCGCAATGTAGACATATGATTTATAAATCATTTAACATGATGTAGCTGTGATTGTTAATACAATGTTACTCTAATAAACGTGTATTTATAGGCAACTCTTCGTCATGAAGACGGTGATGATGAAGCTCAGTCTCCTCCATCTGGACATAAATGTCGGCGTCGGGCTAGTGTTGGAGCAACACCTGAGAGACGGGGTTTGGAACGACGGCGTAGCCGAAGACATTCACTCCAGAACGGAAAAGGCCACACTTCTGCTCCAACTTCCCCCTGTCACAGCCATACACCCAACATCCTGTCCTTTAACAGCCAGAGGATAGAAGACATCAGTGAAAGGTGAGAAGAGGAGAGAGAGAGGATTAGAAGTGGATTTTACATACCATATTTTGTCTTACTGCAGTTTTAAAATCCAACAGCTAAAATGTACGTTTCATTATTTTTCTTTAGGTATTTTAAGTATTTAATGAATGTATCAATTAATCAATTAATCAATTATTCAGTGAATAAATGAATGAATGAATGAATGAATGAATGAATGAATGAATGAATGAATGAATGAATGAATGAATTGATTGATTAATTAAATAATTAATGAATCAAGTAATTTGTTTGTTTTTTATTTATTTTTAATTTTTCCTTTATATGTAAGTACATATAATGTAATTTGATGCACAAATTAATGAATATTATATTTTATTTTACTGTTTTGTTTTTGATTAATTATCCAGACTTTATAAAAGTCTGTGTGGCAAAAATTGCACTCAGGACCTGCAATAATGTTTTGTTTGTTTGTTTGTTTGTTTGTTTGTTTGTTTGTTTGTTTGTTTGTTTGTTTGTTTGTTTGTTTGTTGAGTTTTTCTATGTATTTTTGTGAAATATATTTACAATTAACATATATAAATCTAGACAAACATCTAAAACAAGAAATTTATTAATAAATTAATGTTGTCTTCCAAAAAAAAGTGAAAATCCTGCACTAAGCCATTTTTCCCCTCCCCCTCCCCTGATGTATTCATTTTCTGCCATAAAACACAATGTGCAGCTCAGGATGTACTGGTTTTCAAAGAACGGGAAGCAGTTTTATATTGGGTGTTCTATCATGTTACTTTTGACATGAGACTTTTTAAGTTTTAAAAAAAGATGGAGAATTTAATAATGCACAGGGAGAGACGTAGAGCACTTGCTAGTGAACAGACATTCATATAAATCAAATACACATGAGGGAGAAGGGAAATAGGAAGTTACTAAAATATAGAGGTCCGATTCATGCATACTTTTCAGGGCTGTAGCACAGCATGAGGTACTCTGTCCCGTCCTTGTATGATTTGCTGTAAACTATAATCATACAACTTTATAGATATCCTTTTAATGTTTCAAGGGACAAAGGTGAACACAAGAATATCCAAACTAGGAATGGCAGCAGTATATCAACCATGCAAAAAGACTTCATGTGGTTTTTCCCTCAAATAGCAAGATAGAAAGATCATGCAAGGCAGCAGATGGAGAGAAAGAGTAGCCAGTGTGTGTTAGAGGAACATTTTGTATCTTGATCTTACTAAGTAGAAATTCTACTTGCCAGTTTGTGGATGGGCCGTCCTGTTTGATAAACTCACTGAGTCCTGGAGACAAGAGTAAAGATCTAATCTTGAGAACACCAGAGTTTTAACAGCATCTTCATGAAAAATGTGCAATTTATTTATTTAACATTTTTCATGCTCCAGTGGATAGGTTTAGTAATGTTACTTTTATGCCATAGAATAAATACTTTTTATGGTCTTTAAAATGAAATAACATAAACAAAGGAGGCTGAGAATAATGCTTAGAGGTCACTTAGAACCATATGTCATGGAATTTTAAAAGGCCACTTTCAGACATTGAAAGTCAGCGAATTTCTATATTTTTGTCATGTAATATCATAAAGTCATTATTTCGTTTTTCCATTAATATTATAATTATGAATTTCACTTTCTATTTATTTAAATGTATTTTTTAATAAAAAGTTAATTTGTTTTATAATGTGTTCGATGTCTTGTTAAAATTGTTACAATTAGTTTAAATGATAATCACATAAATCAAATGCAGTCACCTGCATTAAAGACATTTTAATATTTCAGTTTAGCTTTTAGCAGGCTTTATCACTCTTAAAAAGTCATGACAACATGATAAGTTTTTTGTTCATTATAGGTCGTGGAAATTATTTTTTTTATAAAATTTTTTTTTTTTTTTTTCAGGAAAAAGTCAAGAAATTTGACAATTGGCTTATAAGACATGCTGCTTATGTGACCCTGAAAAAAACACTGTTTTGTTGTATTTTTAATTCCATTAAAATCAATGAATTCTTATTCATTAACATTTATTTAATCATTTATTCATTCACTGATTTTCCTTTGGCTTAGTCCCTTTATTCATCAGGAGTCACCACAACGGAATGAACCGCCAAGTTATCCAACATACTGTATGTTTTACACAGCAGATGCCCTTCCAGCTGCAACCCAGTACTGGGAAACTTCTGCATACACTCATTCACACACATACACTTCAGCTAATTGAGTTTATTCAATTCAGCTGTAACATGTCTTTGAACTGTGGGGGAAACTCCACACAAATATGCCAACTGACCCATTCGAGGCTCGAACCAGATACTTTGAGGCGACAGTGAAATGCACTGCACAATATTATGAAATAAAAATATATATTTTACCTCATCTTGCATTTTTTTAAGAAATATATTATTATGTGTTTTTTTTTATGGAAATACTAATACAATTTTATTTTCATGTCATATTTTGTAAAATGTATTTTTAAATCTTCTTACCAATTTTGCAAGTTTGCACAACTCCATAGTAAACTATAACATTAAAGAGCATTTGACCATCTGAAAACTGCTCATTGGCCAGAAAAGTAGGAATCAATAAAATGACAACAAAAGCCTCACATCACTCTCGTTCCTTTGTAAAGCCGCAGAGACGGCTTATACTTCAGATTATTGATGGCAGGATCTGTTGGTAGTGATATTTCTTGGAGCGGTTTGCTTGACAGATAGTTGAATTGATCCCTGTCAGTCATTTGATGTTGAAGTCTGTTAGATCTCCTACCACGGAAATTAGAAAAGGCTTTGAAGTGCAGTGTTTTCCATATTAGTAATACATAGCAGTCTGCTGGGAGAAGGAGAGACCCTTTTTATGGATTCAATGTTTTGCTGTATTAGTGGTTGTGTCACTCAGAAGTTCTCATCTAGTGTGCCGTGACACAAAAATTGGATTATATGTATGTTCTGGAAATGAGTAGGAATGGGAATTATGAAAGGGGGAAAGACTGAGGTTCTGTAGCAATTTAATTGTTTTTAAGGAATTAAGAGATTTATATTTTGAGAGTTTGGAAGTTTTAATACAATTGCAGTGTCAAATGTTAAATGTACAACACTTTCCAAAGTGTTACATTTATCAAAGTGTTTCAAGTATCCAGAGTCTTTAATTGCTGTAAAGGTAAAAAAAAAAAAAATGTTCGTCCAAAAATGTAAAAGAAAATCACTCTTTACTTGTTTCAAACTTTTATGAGTTAATTTCTTTTGTTAAACACACACACACACACATGCAAACACCCACGCACGCACTCACACAAACACTCACACAGACATTCACAATAGATCACTTGAAGAAAACTGGAAACCTGTTACCACTGAATTCCATAGAAAGTTTTGTCTTTTATGGACGTCAATGGTTACAGATTTTCAGCTTTCTTCAAAATATTTTTCAACAGAATTAAAAAGACATATAAAGGTTTGGAACCACGTGAGTGTGAATAAATAGATAGTACTTTTTTTTTTAAGTAAATTAGGAGTAAGCTGTGTTAAGTGAATAAACAAAATAATCTCTTGTTGTTTTGTTACTTCTGAAGCCATAGCTTGTGTGTGCAGTGTCTGTTTTGAGCATAAACTCATGCTGCTTTCACACTAGAAATGTTATACTTCTCAATGAAGTTGTAATTACAAGTTTGTCAGGCTTAAGTGCTTCCTTGTTGTAAGAATAGGAATAATGGGGCATTGCCAATTTTTAGTAGGGAAACGGCTTATTGAAGCCAAAATGTGCTGAAAAGAAGTAGTCCACATATTTTGAATACATCATTTTAACACCATTTATAGTTTTTTTCCAACTCCTCACAAAATCTTTTCATGTCACACAATTTCTGAAACATCTCACTCAAAATGCAAAACTACACAGCAAACAGCTGTTTTCAATTGCATAACAATTTTTTTTTAAAAACACTACACACAACTCTACCTAAAACACAAAAATCTAAATGTAAGCTACTTAATTTCTATTTTCAAACACAACCAATAAAAATGCTACACTTATTCAGCAGGTCACACAAACACACTCCCGAAATGTGGAGACACTACTTTCTTTACTGTTCACTAGGGCCAGATGGAATCTGCGGACATTTGTTTGTTATTTCTGCGCATAATTTTGTTAAAAATCTGCAGATTTATGCATATTGGATGCATGATTTTGGGAGATTCATAACTAAAAACTTAATATATGAAATAAAAAAGATATACTTTTTTGACATTTATTTAATGTTTACAATGCAAATCCAATTAGATCCACTTATTTGGTAAACAAAGCAAGTCTCTCGTGTAATATAACCAATAAAAGAGAAAAGACTTTTTTTTACTGTACAAACTACAATCTGCATAAATCATATAAATATTTTCATATTGGGTCAATAATATTATTGAAATAAATGTAAATACTGAATAAATATACATGTACACACATTTCCACAAGTAAATAACAAAATCAATGATGGGCTAAAAATCTGTGGAGCTCTGCGGAATTCTGCGTGAGCAGATTCCGTGTGGACCTACTGATCACTAACCAATCACTGCTTCACTGTAAAACATTATATTGAACTGTAGATATTTTTTATGCTAAAGCAAAGTGTTTGTCATTTGATGCAAATGCTTCATTATGATATGTTTATAGCATTTTGAATGCAGTGTTTTTAGAAAATGTAAGGCATTTTGCATTTTGTGTGTGCAGTTTTGAGAATTGTGTGTAATTTTTAAAAAAAAGTTAGCATTGTTTTTAAAATGTGTGTAAGCAGTTGGAAAAAATGGTAAAACATTGCCTACACTGTTATTTAACTACTGTTAAATAAATGCTGTTTCCACTGTGTAAAACAATTACAATACCAAACAAATGATTATTTTATTTTAGGGATGTAGTGCTTTACAAAAGTCATGGTTCGATTCAATTTGGCACCGGTGTCAGTTTAGTATGAATATTAAAGCATGATATATTAGTTACTTTAAACAATGATGGAGCAATACTTACCCATCTTCTAGAAGCAGCATATAAAACAAAAATCTTCTTAGATTCAAAAAAAAAAAAAAAAAAAAATATATATATATATATATATATATATATATACACACTGTATCAGTAGTTTCATTTATATATTTACTTCTCATAATATAACGTAGAACATAATATAGTTTTAAGCTTGGAAACTCATAATTACTATAATTCTGATTCCAAACATGTGAAGACAGCATTATTTGCAGTGGTTTGTCCTCTATGTTGTATTGATGTGACATTATATCATCTAAAAAAAATCTGAAACATTTAACCAGTTAACGTGAAATCACTTTCTACAAATGTTTTGTATTGTTTATTCCTGTGCCATTTTGTCTGTAGTCAGAGCATGTGGTGAAGGTTCCTGTTCTTGTTATCTCCTTTCATTCCCGCTCTTCCTTTTCTTTCTTTAATCATTCCTCCTTGCAACCCTCAACCCTCCTTTTCGCTACAGAGAGGATGAGGAAGAGGAGGAGGAAAAGGATGAAGAGTTTCAGAAAGCAGCACTTTCTAGACAGGCATCTGGAAGGTATTTTAGCAGAATAAGATTGCCGGGTGTAGAGCAGGGATTGTCACACTCGATCCTGGAGGTCCGGTGTCCTTGCAGATTTTTAACTCCAACTCACCTCAACACACCTGCTAGGATGTTTCTAGAAAGCCTAGTAAGAATTTTGAGTAGCTAGCCCAGGTATGTCTGATTGGTGTGTCTGATTGGGGTTGGAACTAAACTTTGCGGTACACCGGCCCTCCATTACTGAGTTTGAGAACCCCTGGTGTAGAATCCTAAAACTAGACAATTTTGTAGATCCTTATCCATTTTTAGATGCTATCTCTTCCTTGACTTCTCTGACATAAATGTCTCTTATGATATCATGGTGTTCCCCATCATTTACTAGATTTTTTTGCTGTTATTCTGTCATTTGTAGCTGTGTGGCATCAACAGTAGAGGACGCTTCTAGCTTGTGTTTGCCTTTAAGGTGCATGGTCAACTTCATTCCAAATGCTGCTGACACAGAAAATGCAGAAAAACCTCGGAACAGGTCTGGGATCAGGGTTATCCACAAGGCCCCAATGTCCTCTCCTCCTTTTACCCCCGATTTTGTCCCCCCGTTATCACCCAGACTGTCTTCTTGGTCTTCAGTCAGATCTTTAGGAGCCGTCCCATCCCAGGGTTCCTCTGTCACCTCCTCAGCCTCCACTTCCCCGGGCGAAGAGCCCCAATCCCCTGTCCTCCCTCTTCTCTCTTCCAACCTTCTTCATACTTGCCCAGAGGATTTGGACGAGGTGTTTGTAGGCACTCTACAGGGTCAAGATCCAGACAAACACTGCAGGTAGTGCAGATAGACGCAGTAGATTCTCGCCACTCACAGTACAAGTTTCCTCGCATGTGCATATGGGCTCTGTTTCAAACCTTAGTAAGCTGCCTTGTGCCTACATAAACGGCATAGTTATAGATTGTATGCACCTTCCTGACACAAGCTGCTCCAGTAGACAATTGGCTGGAGAAATGAACTCAATTTTAAGAAAGAATCTCAAATACCTTTAAGAGTTTAAACAATTCCGAAATCCGGAATGTGCAGAATTTTGAATTTGAGACTTGTTGATTTGAAAATTGTGCTAAAATTTATTGAATTGGGATTTGAAGAAATCTATCTGTCTGTGTCTGTACATCTATCTGTCCATCCATCCATCAATCCAACCATTCATCCTTTCATTTACCCACAAATCGTTCCAGTCCTGGGGTCCGTTCTTCGTACCTCGCTTAAATGATCTAAGATGATTTGGCAGATCCTGGATCTGTTCATTTTCATAACTGATCTCTGGCTAGTTTGGTTCTTCAAACAAGTTCGCGAGTCAGATTAAAATGTCTGGATGAACTGATCTGAGATCGATGCGTGTGTTGTGAAGGACAGATCTATCGATCCTCAAAATCATGATCAGCAATGCAACGACTGGCTGACGGCACAGCAGCATAATGACATCATCTGTTTAATATTCAATTATTTATGTGAGCTTAATTACATAAAATAAACAGTTTGTTAAATATCAACTGTCAAAACATGTTTACGACTGCATAAATGTATTACTGCTTTTAAAAAAGACACATTGTGCATTTCTATTATCATACACAAATTGTACTAAAGCGGTCTAAATTGTTCATATCAATAGGTTTTCTCTTTGCACCTGCAGCTGGCAGTCTTTGTACTTTCATTTCGGGGGTGATGATTGCATAAGTTTTATTAATAAATATAAATATCAGAATTCGGCACATACTTGTAGTATTATCTTTGCTTGAACTGACTTGATCTAATAACTGTTTATAGGACATAAGCCTGCTCCCGACCAGGTTTGATCTACCAGAAATGTTGCTATGACAACAACTCTCAGATCAGTTTTGATGAACGAAACGATCCTGGATCTTGTCAATTCATCAATAACCAAATCCAGCTAACTAAGTAATCCACGTACGAAGAACAGACCCCTGAGGTTTGTGGGTTGTTGGGGGTTTGTGTATTCCAAAGTTTGCATGTTATTAAAAGACTATCCCAGCAAACTCATAAGCAGTGAAATTTCAAACTTTTAAATTAGTTAGAAATTGTTTAGATGATGCAGTGGCACAGTAGGTAGTGCTGTTGCCTCACAGCAAGAAGGTCGCTGGTTCTAGCCATGGCTTGGTCAGTTGGCGTTTCTGTGTGGAGTTTGCATGTTCTCCCTGCATTCGCGTGTGTTTCCTCTGGGTGCTCCGGTTTCCAAAGACATGTGGTACAGGTGAATTGGGTAAGCTAAATTGTCCGTGGTAATCTAAATTGTCCGTAGCGTATTAGTATGAATGAGTGTGTGTGTGTGGATGTTTCCCAGAGATGGTTTGCGGCTGGAAGGGCATCCGCTGTGTAAAAACATGCTGATTAAGTTGTTAGTTTACTCCGCTGTGGCGACCCCAGAGTAATAAAGGGACTAAACCGAAAAGAAAATGAATGAATGAATGAAAATTGTTTAAATACACTCGCATCTCACCTCTCTTATTATTTGATGGTAGTCGTATATGAATCTCACCTCCTTTATAGTATGCTTCTTACTTTTGCGTTTTGTCTCTCTTGCCATAGTATGCCACTCATACACTTGTCATACTATGCTACTCACACTTGCCTCTTGTCTCACTCGCCATAGTATGCTACTTGCACATGTGGCTCACCTCTTTCGACCAAAAGTATGCTAACGTGACAAAGAATGTCAGAAAACCATTTGTACATCATAGCCAGTTATGGTATGATAACTAAAACCATACTGAATAAAACCATAATGAATAGAAACAATTCATTTTGACATTCCTCCTATCCATATATTTATTGATCTACAGATCTATCTTTCTAACAGCCTTACAGTTTACCTATCAATCTATATGTTGGTCTGTCTATTAGTATGTCTGCTTGCATATCGCTCAAAGTTTGTTTTTACATTACATTACTGTTAACACAAACAGTTTCAAGAATTTCTTTAAATTGCACTTCAAGGGTGAGTTTCTGGTAATGAAGTTGTTGTCTTTTATAGAGTGTTTGAAGCCATAATCTGATAAGTAGTCTTGAAAGATGTCTTTAAAAACATGAGTTGCCTATGTAAGCTGCAAGGTTTAGGACAGAGCCAATCAAAGCTGCATGTCTGATTCAGAGAATGACTTTCACCCCCACAAGTCAAGTTATGAGATCACTGAGAGTTGAATTTAGGAAACCCATGTCTTTTTTATGAATTCAAATCCAACCTTGACCACAGTAGTTAAACTGTTATATTGTAGGAAGTGTTTCATAGAATTCGCTTGATCTCTGGATCTCCTGTGAATGGCGAGGGTTTATTGTTTTGCCTGTTCCATCAACCTTTTGAATAGAGTTAGACCCTTACCTAAAGGATCATCTCCCTGTCTGTTTGGTCCTAATTCCAAGAGAGCATTGCCTACGCACACCATTGCAAATAGCTACACTCACAGTGTATTAACTCATCGCCATGTGCAATTTAGTGGCTTAACCTGTGTTATTTGTCAAATCCTTAGCCCAATAAAATAAGACATGGATACCGCTATGATCATAGCCCGATAAATCTTTATACTCTATGAATTTAATGTTGACTCTTCAATGCAAAATGACGTTTCATAAACTAAAGTCTTTTTTTCCCTCTGAACTGGCCACTGTAGTGCAAGACACTCCCTAAAGGATGCTAACTTTTACTGACATTTACAGCTCATCTGCCTTTCATTGATGCATTGTACCACTACAAAGCCAAGAGAAGCCTGTAAATTAAGTAACATATAAAAGGGCAATTGTATTTCACTCTGGACATTATCTGTAGGGTCTGCATTTCATGAGAATTAAGCTGAAAATGCTTTGCGAAGTCATATGCATGTTTGCCTGACATTAAGACCATGGCAGCTTGAGGAGCCCATGTGGATTATAAATTGGATCAAAGACAGCTTTTTTTTTTTTTTTTTAAAGTATTCTGAGACTATGAATACGTGTATTATTCATATATTATGCTTTAATACATGCAATACACATCTGTGTTTAAATTGAATAACAATAGAAAGTTGCAATGGAATTCTAAAATTGCAATGAAAAAAAAATGCATTCTGTGTGAATATGATGTCTTTTTGGGGGGTGGGGGGAACCTTATGAGTCTGTTGAACTTTTATTATGTTAAACTGGTTTAAAACTGCTTGCTTATAAAATTAGGTTAGAACACGATTAACTTAGTTTAATAAGATACAATGACCTAAAACATATGCTGTCAGGACTAACGGCCTATTCACACTGGGCGTCAGCGTCAACGCTTCCCATTCACTTTGAATGGGTTACGTCAGGCATTGCCGAACTGCATTGTGGATCTGTTGGTGCCGTTTCAGTGGTGTTGCTTGCTGCAGAAGTTGGGAATTTCTCAACTTTTCAAGCAGCAACGCATGCGTCAGCCAATCAAATTGCTTTTGCAAATACAACAGCTCAGCCGATTGAAGACTAATTTCATTGGCTGACGAGCGTTGACACTGAAGTCTCGTGTGAATCGGTTGTTATTAATCATATAATTTTTTACAGTGTAGTGCCCTAGTATAGTGATGAGAACTGTATACTGTCAGTGATCACCATCTTTCAGAATACTCGTTAAAATGAGGTCCTCATTCCCTGTGTTCAGTAAGAAAAATATCCCTGAATGTTCTTTGAAAAGAGTTGGCATCCTGGCCGGATTTGCACACTGGTCTCATAACCAACCCTGTGTCTACTAACTGCTTCTTCACACCATCTCCCCTCCACCAATAAGCTGGGGTGTATTGTGTGGTCTGGCACATGCAGTCTAGTAGTTTACGTGATTCCCCCAAATGTGTAAAGCACTTTGAACAAACAGAACAATATACAGTTGAAGTCAGGATTATTAGCTCCCCTTTGATTTCTTATATATATTTCCCAAATGATGTTTAACAGAGTAAGGAAATTTTCACAGTATGTCTGCTAATATTTTTCTTTCTGGAAAAGACTTATTTGTTTTATTTTGATTAGAGTAAAAGCTATTTAAAAAAAAAAAAAAAAAACATTTAAGGTGAAAATTATTAGCTACATTAAGCTATATATTTTCCCAGTGATGGGTTGCAGCTGGAAGGGCATCCGCTGATATGTATGTATAAAACATATGCTGGTTAAGTTGGCAGATCATTCCTCTGTGGCGACCCCGGATTAATAAAAAGGGACTAAGCCAAAAAGAAAATGAATGAATGAATGAAGCTACAGTATATATTTTTGATAGCCTACAGAACAAACCATAATTATACAGTAACTTGCCTAATTACCCTAACCTAGGGATGGGCAAACTTGATCCTCGAGGGCCGGTGTCCCTGCAGAGTTTTGTTCCAACACTAGTCAAACACAACTGAACATGCTAATCAGTGTCTTTAAGATCACAAGAAATCTATAAGCAGGTGTGTTTGATTAGGGTTGGAGCTAAACTGTGCAGGACACCGGCCCTCCAGGACCGAGTTTGCCCACCCCTGCCCTAGTTAACCTAGTTAAGCCTTTAAATGTCACTTTAAGTTGTAAAGAAGTGTCTTGAAAAATATCAAGTAAAATAATATACTGTCTTCAAAACAAAGATAAAATAAATCAGTTATTAGAAATGGCTTATTAAAACTATTATTTTTTAGAAAAAATTATCTGTTAAACAGAAATTAAGGGAAAAAATAAACCGGGCTAATAATTCAGAGAGGTCTTCAACTGTATAAAGCCTATCAAATGTACACAAATACAATGACTAGGTTTAGACCCACAAGTTGAGTGAGCTCATTATTTCATTATATGTTCATTATTTAAACTAGAACGATGATTTAATTTTAAATTATCACTGATTACAGTTCTAACTAATGCTTTAAACAAGGCATTTGCAATAAAAGTACAAAGTTGATATCAAAGTTGTTCTGGAAACAGTAAGCTTGACTAGTTAGACACAGAATACATTTTTGTTAAACAGCAAGTTACATTGTAGCATGGAAACACATCCCTGGTTAGCATTAAGTTTTTTTTTTTTTTTTTCACTCAAAACTACTGTATTATTACACTAAGTGGCAATAGCATGCATTTAAAGCATGCAATTATTTGTTTTCATTCTATTAGCTTTTGGCTATATAAAAAATCTCTATTTATCTAATGGCGTCTGCTTTGATTTACTTTCTGTCTGTATTGTGACTGTAGTTGTTTATTTGCTTCACTTTTCCTCTGTTCGCTTTTACTGCCAGTCAGACTAATCCTTCTATAATGTATGTGTTCCCTTCTAACTGCTCTTCATGTTCTGTCTCTTCTGTGCAGTTTGTCAGATGTTAGTTACCCAAACACACCATGCAGTTCTTGTGGCAGGTAAGGGAACATGTTAGACGCAAATTTGCAAATCCATTTGTGAGGCCTGATGTGCTATATTAATATATATAGTTTTTAATATTTATACTGTCAACCTTCAATGAAATCAACCTTCAATCTTTTTTTAGTATTCTGAAATCAAGAATTTAATTTAATTTAATTTAATTTAATTTAATTTCAATCAGATAATGCTGGCTGTAACCATATCAATCAATCCTCTTTTTTTACTCACTGGAATAAATTTTTGGCAGACCAGGCTTATATTTGGCAATTCTAAATCAATTACTAACCCTTTAAAGTGTGTTTGACTCTCTGTTCTTTCAGGTGCTCTTTGAAAAGTAGAACAGTGTCTGTTTATTTCACTGGTATTAAGCCAGGAATCATTCCCAGCTCTCAGTTCTAGCCCTGATAATGTTTGTAATGAATCACAGCATATTCAAAGATGGAGGCAGGTTTAAGGAGCGACTGACAGTATGTCAATGAACTCTTTTAATAAAGATGTGGGATTGCGCAGGGAAACAAGTCTCCACACGTCTTCAATCATACCTCCATATACAAGGTCATATCGCGTACATCTCCAGTCGACAATCTGAACTGGCAGTCTGCTTTATGTAGGGAAAAGAGTTTATTTTGTCACCCACTGATGTGAAAGCTGCATTCAGCCAAGCACCTGTATGTGTTTGTGTGTGCTTGTGTGTATGTGGCTTCACATTGGCCTCTGTGTTGCAGTCCTGATGGAGAAAGTAAATGAAATCATCTGGAATCATAGCTTCACCCCCCTGGCTGTGTGTATTAGCTGATGATATGTGTGATAAATGAAGTGAACAGAAAAGATGGTCATTAGTTATTTTGGATAAATCAAGACTTCAGCTTTATGCTGTTAAGAGGTCGACTTCAGGACAACAAATTTCCACAAATCAAATCGGTTTTGTTTGTGTGTGTGTATATGGGTCAAAAATGGAAGGGATTTTCAGGCATCAAATAACATCAAAACAATAGTGAAGTGCAGGTTTTTTTTCCTACATAAGATTTTTTTTTTTCCTGAGGCAAAATTAAAGAGAAAGTTCACCTAAAAATGGGACATTGGCTTACAGTAAAGGACTATTATTTTAAAATGTTACCATATATATGGTGACATGAACAAACAATACATTTATTACGGTTTATTTGGAGTATGGCTTTATTTTTACACTTTCCTTGTTACCCATGTTGTATGTTTTTACTGTTAAGTTAATAGTTAAGTATGCCATTTTAAAACCCCAACTATTACACTATGACATTAAAGAACACACTTTATTTTAAGGTAAAGTTCTTACTATTAATAAACTACTGAATCTTAGGGGTGAGCGGGGAATAAAGCAATGACATGACGCAACTTTCTAGAAACCCACTTTGAATGTTATGACTCCATTAAATGGGTGTTATCAGTGGTTATCAGCTGATATATATGGGCCAGTAGAGGCCTTAAAGAAGACTCCAGATCTGTTTTTACATTACTGTGATGGTTGAGTTTAGGGTTGGGGTAGGGGCAGCTGATAATAAAATACAATTAATGAAAAGTTTAATAAAAAATAGAAATAATTTTTGTTAACTTCCAACCACAACCATATGTGATGTATAGCTGATTCACCAAGTGGATGGATGATAAAAGCCTTTTTAGCCTACCAGTAGGTACAGAAGGTCCCTACTGGCTCATTTCTGTCAGCTGATAACCACTGATAAGCCCCTATAAATTAAGTGATAACAATTCAGTTCTTGAGTGCAAAAAGTTATTTTTTCCTTATTACAAGAGTTTCTCTTTTCATGCATCATACTAATGATCAATCTATAGGTCATTTAGTGAAATAACACGTCCTTAAATTTGCAATGTCTGAGTTTTTCAGTGTAAAAGTAATGCTGTGGTCACATTAGAGTTTGTGCGTGCAAAATTCTGTTGTATGGTGATACGAAATGGGGTGGGATTAAACAAGATGATTAGACATTTAAAAAGGCTAGCGATTGGTCGATATTTAACATTTTTGTCCAGAGAGGTCATGTTTTGAACTTTGATTAGTCTCACGCAATTATGTGATGCGATTTCGCAGTTGAGAGTTCACCAAGCTTGAATTTTCCAATGCATTAAACTACGAAACTTGACGCATTCGCGTGCGTATGAATGGAAGTCTATAAGGAGAATAGTAATCAGATTTAAATAGCAAGAGTTTCTGTGGAGACAAAAGTAACACTGTTATTTATGTCTCAGGGCTAATATTCAGACCTCATTTTTCATTTCCTCAGAGTTTTCAGTGTTTTGATTCATGTGTTTTATAAAAATTATTGCACATTGCCAATAATAAAGAAACATATTCAAAATATTTGGAAAATGTGAAAATTTTGCATCGTTAACATGAACTAGGTCATAACAAAATATAAAAAAAAAAAAAACAAGATTAATTTCATAAATCTAGCAACTATTGTTGTGTCACTTTTGACCCACTCACGTGTTACCTTTGACCCTACTGATGGAGTCAAAAGTAACAATGTGCAATTTTTGTTTAAAGTGAAATTATTTGTTAAAAATGCCACCTGATATTGAAAGACCACAATTAAGAGTTAGAAACCACAGCAAAAATATATTTCTGTCAAAAACATTATCTTTTAATAATAGGTTTATGAACAAATGGTACAGTACTTCCATCCCTGCCCTCCCCTACTTTTCGCTCAGTAAACTACTAATTTGCTGCTTACTGTAATAATAGTTATAAAGGTAGCAGTTGGGTTTAGGTCTTAGGTAGGGTTGGGGATGTAGGATATGTTCATGCAGAATATGTAATTTATAAGTACTAATAAGCTGTTAATATCCTATTATTAAGCCACTATTTAATGGTGAGAATTGCTACTTAAAGTGTTATTATTTATTAATTATATTTAAGAATTGAAAGACCAAAACAAATTGTGCCATTTGTGATTATTGCTTAAAGATTGGTAAATTCTCTTTCCTGTTTCCTTTAGCAATGGCAATGCAAGCACATATCCCGGCAGGTCATCTGGGGTGTCCAGTGCCCTCTCCACACCCTACAACCGCTTCGGTCCTTCAGGAGGTCCATCTGCAGACAGTAAAGCCGACAGGTGAGCCACTGTTCATCTTTGATGCGCACATGGCTTTGTTTCACAGGAATCTTCAAATGTAACACTTTTGACACTAAAATGGTTATGATTATTGATAAAAGAAATTACAGGATATCTAAAGCATATTTTGAAAGGACATAATATTCTTAAGGTGTCTTACACCTGCAAATCACCCTCTTACTCAAGGATATTTTACTTTTAGAACTGAATTATTTCTTACCAGTTTTCTTTAGCCAACATTTGAAGTGGATCAACCCCTTTCATCAAAGTTACTCTAAAACTTTCTACAACACCCATTCTTGTCTTGTATCTATTTCAAATGTTGATTACTATAATTACTTTGGAAAAAAATTCCAAAAACACATATTATATATTTTATCAAAAACATTTATTTACAAAAACCCAGGCAGGACATGGAGATGTGACAATACAATACCGGACAACAAATAAACTAAACTTAGGGATATAAATAAACAAGACATGAATAAACAGAATACAAACAGTGGTGTGACACAGGTGGAAGTAATGAACATTAACAAATGGCGGGAAAACAGAACAAAGAACTCACATGACATAACAAAAGCACTTGGAACACAACACATGGGCTGCGTCCGCAACCGCATACTTCCATACTATATAGTACGCTAAAATCAGTATGCGAGCCGAGTAGTATGTCCGAATTCATAGAATTTAAATATCAGAATGCGAGAAGTACCCGGATGACTTACTACTTCCGGCGAGATTCCGGAGTGCGCACCCCATGCACGCTGCGCAATCCCATGATGGCCTGAGAGCGAATTCATGAATGGGAGTAAAGCGACGCAAATGACGCAGGTACATCACTGAGGACTAGTACGTTTAAATTCAAATGCAGTACCCACTGAGTAGTGGGTGGTTTCTGACTCGGCCATGGGGAATCACATGACATAAATACACAATGAACACAACACAGACACACCAGACTATGACATTGGACAAACACAATGTTTTTGGTTAGGTTATTTTTTTTTTTTGTCATTTGACCCAATGTTGGATAAGAGCAACTCATCATTTTTCAGAGTGTAAACATTTAGTTAATTAAGTATGTTATTACAGTTTATATAAACTTTTTATTTCTGAATTAAAGTAGATACCGCATTTCTGATGTTTCAGCTAAATTTGTGGTTGTTTTTATAACATTGTTCCAGGCCAACTCTGGGTGGATTGTTGACCTCCTCCTACAGGCAGCACCAAGAATCTCTGAACGCTGAAAGAGAGCGGAGACGTCTGGAGAGAGAAGAGAGACTTCAACGGATTGAAAGAGAGGAGAGAAACCGCTTCAAGTTTGTGGTCTTTCTCAATTTATCATTATGATTCAGTTTGTTTTTGCACCCCGGCCTGAGTTATTTGATTTATTCCACGAATGCATTAGTGGTTCTGACGTCATGTGGTGTCTCTCGTGTTGGAGATGACTATGAGAAACATTTTGTCCAACTGGTTAGAGATGCAGTTTCGTCCAATTTTTTTTTTTATCAGAGATCAGGGAGTTTTCCTGATACGACAAGTTATTGCTGCTTATTATGGTCATTAAAAAGAAAACTGTTCAGAGCAGACAATAAATAATTGTGATGGGCTGCAGCAAGACAAATACTTGGTCTTTCTGTGAGTTTGTCAGGTTTACATTCTACAGTATTTGAGTCTTCTGTTCTGTTTGATGCCATTTTTTGACAGAATAATACAAAACAGGTTCATTGTGAAAACGTACCCCCTCTACATTTTTGGAGATTGCAAATTATGTAGCCAGAGCTACATACGGTTGCATTTTTTCTGTAAAATGAACACTACAGGCGGTATGATACCGCCGACGGCTTCTGTTTCTTTTTGCGTCATATGCGTTGGTGGTCTTGAGACGCAGAAATAAGTTGATGACGGGGTTCAAGTTTGGGAAGGAATGGTTCCGGAAAGCTGTTAAAACAAAAACATCAAAGCAAAAAATAAAATAAAATAAACAAGTAAATAATAGGGTAAGAACTAAAAATAGTAATGGTAAATGGTAAGATCTAAAAATGTTGTAAAAATCAGATGAGGGCTTTTATTTTTCTGGATTGCTGTCAGTTGGGTTTAGGGAAGGGGATGGGTGGGTGTATTGGTCAGTCGGTCAGCCAATAGACAGCCACCACTGGTGGATTTACACAAGTGCATAAGTTGCGAATGGCACTAGTGAGAAAAATTTGAGATCTCAAAAAACCTTATTGATTAGCGAAAAAAAAATGCAAAAAAAAGTACCTTGTAGGACGTATTTTGCGATCTCCAGAAATATATATTGGGTACATATCAATAATGAGCCTGAAAAAAAAAAAAAAAAAAAAATTATATATATATATATATATATATATATATATATATATATATATATTTATAAATATATATATATATATATATATACATATATATATATATATATATATATATATATATATATATATATATATATATATATATAATTATTATTATTATTAATTTTTTTTTTTTTTACTTTTGTGGCAGCTATGTAATAAGTGGTATAATGCACATCTAGGTGTTTGTGTCCGCAGAATTAACCTGTTCAGTCTTATAAAACAGCCCTCTTCTTTCTTAGAAATTATTTTCTGCTTGAACAACTACCTTGATATACGTTATCTCTTATACATAGACTTGAGTGTTTACTCCTTAATTGACATTAGGATACAATTTAACCCCAAAAATATTCTTAGTAGGTGTTTTGAAAGGCATTCTTTTGCACTTATTTTACATATTTTCTCATGTTGATTTTTCTTTACTGTAGTCGGGATTATGCAGACAAGAGAGAAGAGGTCAGACATGCCCGTGAAGAAAGGTACGTTCTAGCAGGACCTACGATTACAGTAATTCAACACTCTGTTGCTAATATATGTTTGAAGCCTTTTTACCTTCAGAACTGAATTATTTTTTTTTGAAAGTTAAATATAAAAAATCACTGTATCCCCACAGAAAGAAATTTTCTTTGCCATCCAAAAGGGACTGTTGTTAGTACCCCTCTGAAAAATCCCGTTCACAATTTATTTTGAAGGTCTGTTGGTTGAATTTAAGTTACATTGCATCTATATGCGTGGCGAGGCAGTGGTGCAGTAGGCAGAGCTGTCGCCTTACAGCAAGAAGGTCGCTTGCTCGAACCTCAGCTCAGTTGGCATTTCTGTGTGGAGTTTGCATGTTCTCCCTGCTCCTTCGCGTGAGTTTCCTCCGGGTGCTCCGGTTTCCCCCACAGTCCAAAGACATGCAGTACAGGTGAATTGGGTAGGCTAAATTGTCCGTAGTGTATGAGTGTGTGTGAATTTGTGTGTGGATGTTTCCCAGAGATGGGTTGTGGCTGGTAGGGCAGCCGCTGCATAAAAACTTGCTGGATAAGATGGCGGTTCATTCTGCTGTGGCGACCCCGAATTAATAAAGGGACTAAGCCGACAAGAAAATGAATGAATGCATCTACATGCCAACTAATTCTCTTTAGATTATAAGCAGACTGATGGGTTGGGGTTAGGGTTAGTGTTATGTATGTTGACATGTACTTGCAAAGTTTCTTATAGTCAGTTAAATGTTTGTTGAAGGAGCAATATCAACAGATAATAAGCAGACAGTCTACTAATACTCAAATGGACCATCAAAATAAAATGTTACCAAAATCCCTGCTTCCGTCACTGACAAGTTATCACCTAAGTTTGCTGTTTCTTACATAACTGTCAGAAGTGTTCAGTGTGTTTTCTGTTGTATAAACCCATCTGCTTCAAAATGTTTTTGCTCATTGTGTTTAGAGATGCTCTGCTGAGGGCCAGATTGGTTTGAGCTGATTGGATTACAGTAATAAACCACCAGTCACAACAATCTCAGACCCAGTTTATGTCTATGTACTATACATTTGCATTGAAATTAATAAAGTGGACATTGAGAAGCATTGATGCTACTAAAAAAGAAAAAAAGATGTGATTCTTATGTTTCCGATGATGATGATGGACGTAAAATCTTTATGCTAAAGGTTATCTTGCTTTTTTAAGAACAATTATTTTAGACACTTGCCACTAATATTACAGGTCACTCATGTAGAATAAATCAGTCCAGTCCAACGCAATTATGTCAAAGCTCTGAGCCCTGTTTAATATCGATTATCAGCACAGCGGTTGTAATACACCTTGAAAGCGTTTATTAGAATGAGTAGCAGATGGGAAGCGAGTCTGCACGTGCTGAAGGTGAAATATAGGCATCAGGGCCCCTTTACGCCTGCTGTAGATAAAGACCTTTAAAGATGGAAAGACAAGGTGTGTAATTGACATTAGACATGGCCTTTTTTCATTTACAGTCAATGTCAGAAACATGCTTCCTGGCAAATGAAACGTTTCAATGTCCTTGCATTTATTTTAGATCTTATCAAAAGCCAACATCTTCCAATGTTTTTCTTCAATTTCTTGAAGCTTTCAGTATAGCGTAATGATATGATGGAATTAACGGATCAGCCAATGCATATTTTGGGGGAGATAAAACAGGAGAGCGGACAGCATCTGTTCCCTTTCGGGTGGGGAACTTCAATGATATCAGTGGATTTTAATCCACGAATGGGGATTTCGTTTCAGAAAGCCAATCGTCTGAAAGAGTATATAATGGGCCAATGAATGCCAAATGAGTTGGCAGTCGTGCAGCATGTCCTTTTCAGGATGGCGCTCCGACCGTGCATTTCTGGATGCAGTGGTTTCCTGGATGATGGGCACGAGCACTGTGTTGCATGTCTGGGGGTCCAAAATGTTATTGCGGTGCTCGTGGGCAGTTCATGTTTTCATTGCGTTGCCATGACTGTTGCGCAGTTAAGATTGTGGCTACCCTTTGCAAAAAGGCGAACCACCCCAGCTGTCCCCTGCACTGCAGCGGGCACTCGGGCAGATCTGAAGGTTCCAGTGGGAGATAATCCGTCGCCTCCGGGCCTGCGGACCTCCCGCTCCTCCAAGCGCTCCATCCAAGCTTTGAGCGGAGGAAGCGATCAATCCAGCCCTGGGACAGGTCATTTTGGAGAAGAGGGAACTTGCTCTTTCCCCACTGAAGGGCGGGGCCACATTTCCAACGGCACTTTTTACTGCCATGAAATCATCAATGAAAGAGCACTTTTCCACTTCCCCAGATGTGACAGCCCGAAATCTGCCAGTCTGGGACGCTATGCTTCTAGCTCGCAGGTCCGGTGCGTTTCGCCAGTGGCTCACGAGCGCTGGGAGGTCGGTCTACTTTCTCCCACCACTCGAGCCTCCCCTCCGGAGTTTGGGTGCGGAGTGAGAACAAATCTCTCGCCTCCAGCTCTTCCGCGGGACCCTCGCGCTTCCCGGATCAGTACACCCACTCCACACTGCCCCACTGCTGGTATGTCATTGATTGTATCGATGAGTCCATTAGCGAGAGCTCTGCCTGCCTTGTTAGCGCGGCCAGCCCTTCGCGGTGGCTCATACGCACAATCAGACTCGGCTATGCAATTCAGTTCGCGAAACGGCCCCCCAAGTTCATGGGTGTGTATTCACCAGGGTCAGCCCACTGTCCGCCTCTGTCTTGTGAGAGGAGATTGCTGTCCTCCTGGCGAAGGTTGCAATCGAGCCGGTCCCTCCAGTCGAAATGGAGAGCGGGTTTTACAGCCCGCACTTCATCGTCCCCAAAAAGAGTGGTGGGTCACGGCCAAACTTTTTGAACTGCTGTCTGCACAAGCTGCCGTTCAGAATGCTCACGCAGAAGCTGCATCCCCTGATGCGTTCGTCCTCTGGATTGGTTTGCAGCAATAGACCTGAAGGACGCGTATTTCCTTGTCTCCATTCTTCCTCGCCACCGTCAATTTCTGCGATTTGCGTTTGAAGGTCGAGCTTGGTAATGCAAAGTCCTCCCCTTCGGGCTCTCTCTGTCTCTGCGGGTCCTCACCAAGCTCGCGGAGGGTGCCTTAGTGCCCCTTCGGCTCGCGGGCATCCGCATATTCAATTATCTCGACGACTGGCTGATTTTTAGCCTACTCTCAGGAACAATTGATTATGCACAGAGACAAGGTGCTCCGGCACCTCCACCTATTGGGGTTTCAAGTCAACCGAGAAAAGAGCAAACTCGCCCCCGTGCAGAGGATCTCTTTACTCGGGCTGGAGCTGGACTCACCATGAAAGCGCCTCTCCGGAGAGCATGCTTAGCTGATCCTAAACTGTCTGAGAGAATTCGACAGCAAAATAGTGGTCCCACTGAAATTATTAACCTGGGGCATATGGCATCCGCAGCCGCTGTCATGCTGCTCTGATTACTCCATATGAGACCACTCCAGCACTGGCTTCACGATCGAGTCCCCAGACGGGCATGGCACGCGTGCGCACACAGAGTCACTGTTACTGCGCTGTGTCGCCGTGCCCTCAGCCCTTGGATCAGGAACCTCGTTCCTACAGGTTGGAGTGCCTCTAGGACAGGCGTCCAGTCATGTTGTTGTTTCAACAGATGCTTCCAACACGGGCTGGGGGGCTGTGTGCTGCGGGCATGCAGCTGCGGGCCTGTGGAAAGGAACCCAGTTGCATTGGCATATCAATCCCCTGGAGCTGTTGGCAGTGTTCCTTGCTCTCCACCGTTTTTTTCCAGTGCTGGTCAGGACGGACAGCACGGCGGCGGTGGTGGCGTCTATCAACCGCATGGGGGCTATTCGCTTTCGCCGCATGTCTCAGCTTGCCCGCCGTCTGTTCCTCTGGAGTCATCCGCGGCTGAAATCGCTGTGCACCATTTACATTTCAGGCAAGCTCAACCGTGCAGCTGATGCGCTCTCACGGCAGCCGTACGTCCTGGAGAATGGAGACTCCACCCTGAGTCTGTTCAGCTGATATGGGCGCGATTCGGGGAAGCCCAGATCGATCTGTTTGCTTCCCCTGAGATCGCTCATTGCCTGTTGTTCTTTTCCCTGACCGAGGGCTCTCTCGGCACGGATGCACTGGCCCACAGCTGGCCTCGGGGCATGCGCAAATATGTGTTTCCCCCAGTGAGCCCCCAATAGCCCCAACCAGACCTGGATGTCAGAGCTCTCCCTCCTCGCGATGGTCCTCCCTGGCAGATCCCTTTGAGGGAGCACCTACTCTCTCAGGGACAGGGCACCATCTGGCACCCTCGCCCCGATCTTTGAAACCTCCACGTGTGGTCCTTAGACGCGAGGAAGACTTAGGTAATCTACCGATTGCGGTGGTTAATACCGTCACTCGGGCTAGAGCCCCCTCCTTGAGCGCGCCTATGCCCTGAAGTCGAGTCTATTCACTGAATGGTGCGCCTCTCGCAGAGAAGACCCCCGAAATTTGCCAAATCAGCGTTGTGCTTTCTTTACTCCAAGAGAAGCTGGAAAGCTGGCTGTCACCCTAAACACTCAAGGTTATGTGGCTGTCATCTCCGCTCTCATGACGCGGTGGCTGGCAGCACCATGGGAAGTCAGATCCCTTCGATCCTCGACTCAGTATCTTAAGATTTCTGTCCCTGAAAACTCGTGCCTGTAATTCGGGCTGGCTTACTCTCACGTTCCTGAGACCCCGCCCGGGATATGTTTCCAAGGTTCTTACCTCACCATTTTAAGACCAGTTAGTGAGCCTGCAAGCGCTGCCCCTGGAGGAGGCAGACCCAGCCCCTTTCTTACTTTTTCCAGTTTGCGCTTTGCGTAATTATCTGGACCGCACTCAGAGCTTAGATCATCTGAGCAGCTCTTCGTCTGCTATGGCGGTCGGCAGCAGGGAAGTGATGTATCGAAACAGACGTTGGCCCACTGGATAGTAGATGCCATCTCCCTTGCCTACCAGAGCCAGGGCGAGTCATTTCCCCTGAGAGTGCGTGCACACTCCACTCGGAGCATCGCATCCTCTTCGGCGTGTGCACGCGGCGCCTCTCTAACAGACATCTGTAGAGCTGCAGGCTGGGCGACACCTAATACATTTGCAATCTGTGAGTGGAGCCGGTTTCCTCAAGGGTATTAGGTGACCCTTAGTGATTGAGAAAACAACTCGGTTAAGGTGTTGAAACATGCTTGCTGCGCCATTCTCCCTATCACGGAGATACGTGCGCTTTTTCATCTGTCAGTAAAGTTTCCCGTTAGGTGAGCCCTGCAGATTCCTCCGAGGTCCCCAGCACTGACTCAGCGGAGGAGTCACTCGCTGGCCCATTATGTTGTAGGTCCACCCGTCGGTCAGCCCGCGTTTTGGGTATAGGTGCCCGCTATGCGAGATCCCATATGCTTATTCAGCCACGGTGCAGTCCCCCCTCACTGGCGTACCCGTGTCTTCCCTCTCTCCTAACCTTCTTTTTATATGCGTATATGCGTACTCCCCCTTCTCAGGGCTAGTCCATATATTTTGCCATCATATCTCCCCATTGAGAAGCAGGTGGCCTCCGCAGCGTCCTCCCTATCGGGACTGCACGCTTTCCTAACGTACTTCGTATTTTCCTAGATTTATCTAGATGCTTGCGACTCCCAAAAAATATATCTAAATCCGTAAAACTTCTTTAAAGTGGGATAAGTAGGGGCCAGGGATCACGTTGAAAGAACGCGCCTCTCTTTGATGCAGGGGCGCTCACCTGGCTATCCTCTCATCGGAGGCGAAGGTAAGGTGCAGTCATTATGGCGTTTTCCAGACATTTCTCCATTCGTGGATTAAAATCTACTGATAGCATTGAAGTTCCCCACCCAAAGGGGAACGCTCTGGTTACTAAAGTAACTCCTCGGGGAACGGAAATGCTATATAGCATCACCATAATGACTGTTCCTTAGCTGTAAGTGTCAGTCTTTTCAGCTTAAAAGGATGGTGTTTCCTTGCTTTCCCTGTGCTTATATGCGGAGCTAATTGGCAATAAGCTCCAGGTGCACAAGCTTACGCTACCAACTCATTTGGCATTCATTGGCCCGTTATATACTCTTTAAGACGATTGGCTTTCTGAAACGAAATCCCCATTCGTGGATTAAAATCCACTGATAGGATTTCCGTTCCCCTCCTCAGGGAATGAGGGTTACTTTAGTAACCAGTGTTTTGCCACCTGTTAACGTAACATGGTAGGATGCTTTGGTTTGAAAGGATCTGAAAATCAAGCTCATTTTTGTAGGGAAAATGTTTTAAAATTTATTTTGTTTAAGCCATTCATTTTAATTCACATGCTATTTTAGGCTTCCACCCTTTAGAATAGCTAACTCAACTTTACTTAAAACAACTTATTTTACATTAATGCCATTAATGCCAATAATTACAGTTCCCCTGCAAGGAGCAAATATGAGAGAAATAGTTAGTTTGCCACTAAGTTTAAAACAACAATATTTCAGTTACCAATCCTGGCCTGAAAAAAATGATAAATTGAATTAAAATCATAATTATGTCAATAATTACTCACCCTCATGTCACTGCAAACTCCCAAGACATCTTCAGAACACAAATTAAGATATTTAGATGATATTTGAAAGCTTCCTGATCCTCCTTGGTCCTGACTCATTCAAAGTCCAGAAAGGTACCAAAAAGTATCTCAAAAAAGTTCATATGCCTTTAGTGGTTTAGCCAGAGTATTATCAGGCTATGAAAATACATTTACTTGCAAATAAAAAAAAATAATAATTTCATTTATAAGGAAAACAATTCCATTTATTCAGCATATTTTTTTCCGATTGAACCAATTAAGGCATTTGGGCTGTTTTGAGAATGTTTCTTTTTCTGAACATATCGGGAATGTAACTGACAGAGAGCTTGATGGAGTGTATGGATGTTTCCCAGTACTGGGTTGCAGCTGGAAGGGCACCAGCTGTGAAAAACATAAGTTGGATAAGTTGGCGGTTTAATTCGCTGTGGCAACCACTGATAAATAAAGGGACTGAGCAAAAGGAAAATGTAGGAATGAAGACTTACTGACTTAGACATGTTTGTTGTAGTTTTTTTTTTTTTTTATCATTGATTGATTGGTTTGATTGGTTTGATTGATTGATTGATTGATTGATTGATTGATTGATTGATTGATTGATTGGTTGATTGATTGATTGATTGATTGATTGATTGATTGATTGATTGATTGATTGATTGATGTCATTACTATATTTTAAATGAAATTTGTGAGCTCCCTTATCTTCCATGTACAGCAACATTATTATACAATTAAGTCCAGTAGAGGATGCAGAATATTGTCAAAACATGTGATGTCAGTGGTTCAAATGTAATCATATTAAGCTCTATGAACAATTGTGTGCACCATTAAACTATAAAAATGAATTTGTTCACCTATTTATTTCACATCAGATCAGGGTGCGCATTTACTATGGGCAGTGATCTGTCATGATCAGTGTCAACAAGTCATGCTGCTGACTTCCAAGTATTATTCATTTTGGTAGCAAATGGACACTGAGGACTTGATGATGAAGAGAAGCAACAAAGACACATTGTGAATACATACCCCCATATACATTTCTGAAGAGTGCAAATTATGTAGCCAGTAGTATGTAGTATGGCTGCATTTTGTCATTAAAACGAACGCTAAGGTCCAGTATAATGCCACTGGTGGCTTATGTTTCTTTTCATGCTACTGCTTATCTATGTATGGACAGCTTTTCCACTGTTACCAGTTTGCGCAGTGACTTGCCGTGTATGGTGCCAAACTTAAGATGCAAAGTGGAGTTGACCATGTTAATGGGGTTTGAGTACAGCGAAGAACAATTCCAGAAAGCAGCTAAAACAAAAAGGCAAAAAATAAAATAAAATAAACAAGTAAATAACAGGTTAAAAACGTAGTAAGCTCTGAAAACATGGTACAATCAGGTGGATTTATTTTTTATTTATTTTTTTTATTGTTGTTGAAAATGCTATTGGTTGGGTTTATAGGAGGGGATGGGTGAGTGGGGTTCTCAGTCAGTCAGTCAGTTAGTCTACAGTGTCCTCTAGTGGGTTTACACAAGAAGAGCAGGCTCCAATGGCACTATGTATATTGTATACAGGGATACATATCCTAATGAGCCTGAGTTGAGGAGCAAATATCTGTCATATTTTTCAGATTTTGACATGCAAAAATATTCCTGGAGCTTTGTATGATTATAGTTGAACTATTTAAATCACATAGAATATTTTGACAATGTTTTTGCTTCTTTTTTTAACTTTAAATGTTTCTGGACATTGATGGATGAAGGAGATTTCTTTTTGATTTAGAATGTATTCATGTTTTATGTGGTATATTCAGATACAAGCAAGTGGAGCGTCTGACAGCAGAGGAAAAAGAAAGGGAACGGCCGAGAACACGTGGTAGAACAGAAATCACCCTCAGTCTGAGTTCACGCACTTCCAGCAGCTCCTTGTCTCGTTCCGTCACCCCTTTGACTGTAGATGCTCAAGAGGAGACACGCCCTGTCTCACATACAGCACAAGGTGAGATTTCTCAATGTGTTCAGTAATACAGTGTGGCTTTTCTGAAAAAAAATTATTTGATCCTAAATTTTCCTTTAAAGTGGTTACCACACAAATGTTCTGTACAGAAAACAATGTAAAGCTGCTAGGGCAGTGAGCTATTAGGAAAAAACAACATTTATTTGAGGTTTTTCGACCTCAAATATTAACCACAATTTGAGAAATTGGGTCAGTGGTCAGCCTGCCTTTCATTCGCAGCAACATATGAATGTGAGTTGGTATGAACAGACTGAACGACTGGAGCCTGGTCAATCACTCAGTCCCACTGCAGAGTGATTCACTGTTGCGTCTTTTTAATACAGTATATATATATATATATATATATATATATATATATATATATATATATATATATATATATGTTATGTAAAGGTCAGATGAAATCGGACATAACCATTCACAACTGCGGTCGCATTGCAAAACATCAGATCTGTGTCTGATTAATTACTGCATATGAGAGTGACACAAATCTGAACTGAAAAGATTCCATGAGGTTTGGACTGTCTTTTCTTGGGTCACATATGGGCAAAAAAATCGGATTCGGGCCACATTTGGTTGCAGTGTGAACGTAGCTCAAATATCTTTCCAATTGGTCTTTAAAGGTGCTCGATGTACATTCTAATGATTGTAAAGCATAAGAATATTATATGTTTGCAGATATTTAGGAAACATGCTAAGTGAACATACTTGTTTATGTAAAAAAAACAATGCTTTAGATCATTATTTCCCTTTAAAAATGTGTATTATATGTAGTAATGTTAGTTTTAGTTTGGGTGTAACTTTGCCCAAAGCCTGATTATCTGGTTATAGTTCAGCACCCAGAGTTACCTTGGTGAAAAACAAAGCATTTTTTCCAGTCTTGAAGGATTTCTTAATATATGAAGGACAGTTAGCAACCTCCAAATGAGTTGTAGATTCAGAGTTTTAAAAAAAAACATGTTTTTTTTTTTTTTTTTTTGCAAACGATACAAATATTCCTAACATAAACATTAGCTGAATAGCTTACAGTGTGATACTCAATGCTTGCTCCTGTTGGTGTCAATCTGGCAACCTATGTGCATCAAGTGAGCAGATGCCAGGTGAAAAAAACCCTATCCATTATTTAGGATTTGGACTGAAATACTAAAACCAATACTGTCAATCCTGTATACTGCACCTTTAATCACCACAGAGATCTACTATGTCTAAAATCTAGTTCTTATTAATTGAACTTGCTGTGGTTTTTAAATAACATTGAACATCGCCATCACTGCAATGCAATCAAATTTCAGATGTCCTATAGCATTAGCAAAGTGGTGTTAATTGTAAGAATACTTTATAAGGACTCTCCTCTATTGTGTTATGTTGTGTTTGGACATTTTATTTTCAGTAAGATTGAATCTGAATATGGAAGTTAAGGATTTCAACTAAATTTTAAAAGTTTTTTTTTTTTAATCCTCAATGGACAATATTAAAATGCATACTATAATTAAACAAAAAACTGTTAAGAAACAGTAATTAACACTTTCCTGTGTTTTGCCTTATATTATATTACTATTAAATAGTATATTATGGGACCTTAATCTCAAGTGACGTTTATTGACATTCTAAGTAGGTATCTTATACAATTAATTGTTTTTGAACTACTACAAGATTTAATAAAAAGCCACTTTATTAAACTATAGAGTTAAATAATATAAATAATGATAAAATAATGCTGCAAACTTCTCTTATTATAATGATGTTTTTCCAACAGAAACTGTCAAGATATGGAGACCCAAGCGCAAGGGAGAAGTTCAAAGGGATTTATTAAACAGAAAAAAAAAAAAAAAAAAAAAAAATTTCAACAATTCTGCTCTCCTCGGCAGTAAGAAAACAATCACTCAAAAATATCATAGATAACACAGGCAGTCTAAAAATCGACCCTCCTCTGGGCGTTGTAGGACTGATCAAACGAAAAAGACCCTCTTGGTTTAGCAGTAGTAAAGTAGGGACAGACCTCAGGGAGTCAAGAAGATGAGACCTCACTCGAGCGAGGACTGTGGGCAGAGCAGAGGTGAGCAAGAGCACAGATGAACGAATGACAAGTTGTAAGATAAACAATACAGGACTAGACGGATTGCAAAATGCGTAGATATCTTGAACAGAGAGAACCTGTAACACACGTAGCTCTTTGAACACAGAATCAATTAACAAGCACAGAACGAGGGAGAAGGGGACACTAAATAGCCAAATAATCAGGGAGAACAGGTGAGAGCAATGGGGATGGGGAAACAAGAGAATTGATAACAGGTGAAACTGCATACAAATGACAATACACAAGAGGGAGACAGAGAAAACACACACAAAAAAAAAAAAATCCCGACAGAAACAAACTATTAAGTATGAAGGCTTTTACTGTTGGAGGGGGAGACTAAGCATATTTTGCGTAAGCCATCAAACTGATGTCATTATTGAACAAATGTCATTTCAGAGCGGAAGCAAATGAGTAGATTTTGATTAAAGACTGCCATATTTATTGTTTATCTTATGGCTAACAATATACGCCATTCAAATAAACATTGTTATTTTGGATTTCATGCAGACATTTAAACTTGTTAGAGCAGAGGTCAAAGTCCTATAAAGAAATTTGCTATTGGCAACTGTTAATGAATTGAATTATTTATAGTTTGCATTATGGTTACAAATTAAAATTTGTTTACTAAAAGTTTTTTACTGGATATATTTCTATTACTTTATTACTTTTTTCTATTACACACAAGTTTGGAACCCACTTGATAAAGGTTTAAACCCTGCAGGATGTGATTTTGATTTCAGGAGCGACAACAGAATTATATCTGTAACAGTGTGGCAGTGTGCCAGATTTTTTTTACTCCAATAACAGGGTGATATTTGATTATAGTACAAAAGCTAAGAAAGAAAGAAAGACATCCATCAGCCGTGACACGATAATTGAGTGGAATGGCTTGAGATTGTCCGTTTACTGAGGCTCTGGTTATGTCACATTCATGTGGTTTCTGAAAGCCAGAGGGTTGGTCACACACTGGTCAGCGAGTGAAAACATGACAAGCCGTGTGTAAAGGATAGCAGTGTGGATCAGACTGTGGTTTCAGAGGTCTGCACTCCTCCCATTCTCTGACTCCTGCTTTCCCCCCCAAAACGGAGACTAAATTAAAAGGATGAACACTGATATGCTTATTAAAATTTTTTGATTTCAGAAGTAATTTATGGCAGCCAGTTTCCTTCATGGGAAAGCAAACTTTTGTTATGACTTTTTATGTACACTGTAAAATCCAACAGTCATTTTTATGAAATGAAATGAGTGTAGTTAACTCAAAAATGACTGAAAGTTAATTCTAATCTTTTGAAAAGAGTTTTCAACTGAATGTTAAATGTATGAGTTAACAAAATACCTCATTACTTCAACTTAAATGGTGTAAGTTCACAGTACTCATATAGATTAGTTTTTTAAAATCAAATGGTTTGTAGCAATCGGTTTCCTCAAACAGTTTGAGTTGCCTTAACTTATTAGATTTTACAGTACTCAGTTGGTTTAAGTTAACTTCATTTTTTGGGTTTTACTGTGCTCAAATTGCTTCATTTACTCAAATGGATTAAGTTCAAAGTACTCATTAGGGTTAGTTTTTGAACTTTATTGCTTCTTGCAATTGGTTTCCTTAAATGGTTTGAGTTACTTAACCTTTTGGGTTTATGATGTAACAGTTCTGACTTTTTTCTTATACTGTGGAGAAATTGTATGAAAGTTTGTGCCTTGTGCATTTACATTTTTTAAAACTGCATTACAAAAAAGAAATGTCACAATTCTTACTTTGCATGTTGCAATTTTTATTTTACCACACAGTTCTTCTTGATATTGTGACTTTATTTCTTGTAATAATACCCATAAAACCCATTACGTGAAAATTATGAGTCTACATTTTGCAAATTGAATGCATGTAATTTTATTCTGAGAAAAGAAGTGACAAGTGCACATTTAAATTTTGCAGCTCTGACTTTTTTTCTGTAAATTGCAAGGAACAATGTCATCAACACCAACAATCACAAAAAGTCATAAACTAAGCATTTTAAGAAAAGCTATTATTTCATAAAGTTTATATCTTGCAAGTCTTTTAATTATTTTCCCTCAAAAATGTAAGTATGTCCTGCAGCTGGTTTTGAAATCTGTCGTTATTTCTTGCAGTCATCAATTTTATATTTCAGAATTGTGAGATATAGACTAGCAAGAAAAAAAGTTACATTCAAATCATAATGACCTTTTTATAGTGGAAACAAATTTGCAGTTTAATCAAATACAGTGTATTGTATCCATAATGTCTGTCCATAAAGACTTTAGTTTGAACAGATCTCAGTCGTTCAGATTTTATATTTTCCTGAGTGTCCAAAATAAAACATTTGATGGTAAGGTTGTAAGGAATTTTGTGTTATTCCTGATGCACTTGAAGGATCACATTTCCTGTATATTTATTTGCTTTACCAAATATGGAGGAGTAGATTTGGTTATGTAATGTGGGTTATCGTAACACAGACACTGAGAGAGGGGGATGTTGATTGCAGAACGCATGTGAAGGATGAGGGATGCATCAAATTTATGCATGCAAAGAACTTTTTTAGATTTTTGGTTGTTTGTCTTAACAGCTTTAAAACAATATAAATGCACTCAGCTGGCTAAATTGAGTGGTAATAAAGACTTTACAATTTAACATACATTTTGATAAAGATGTTTTCTTGTTTCATGCATGAATCATAACATCATCAGGATTTTTGTTTTCTTTTTCTACAAATGAGACAGATTATTAAATATTTTGCTTAAACAGTTTGTTCAGTAAAAGAACTACTAAGACTGATGTGTGTGTGTGTTTTTCAGCACTGCTTACACATAATTTAAATGATGGAGCATACAAAATAATAACTCTTGATTTTCTGAAAAAAAAAAGTACTGATATGTATTCAAGGATTCTTTGATCTTTGAAAATTCTGTGATCATTTACTCACCCGTCTTTTAAGACCTGCAAGAAGTTCATTTATCCTCAGAAAACAAATGAAAACATTCAAATGATATATAAATAAATCTAAAGAAGAGAAATAAAATACAATTAAAATTTATTGATATGTGTGCCAATATTACATAAAATGTATAGATAAACTAAGGATTGCATTTACAAATTATATATATATATATATATATATATATATATATATATATATATATATATATATATATATATATGTTAAATATCTATCTCAATTACAACAGACAGTGGTCTGTTATCAATAATGTGTATTATTTTAATTTAACGTTAGTAAACTGTTTTTTATTTATTTATGTAATATTATTATTATTTCATTTCATTTTTTTTATCTTACCTATTGAAGTCTTAAGAGAAAGGTCATTTGTTTCATGTGGTTTAAACCTCTTGGCCTCTACTTTAACAATTTAAGTGCAAAGTCTAAAGTGCATGGCGCAAAAACGTTAGGGCATGTCCAAATTCACTTTTGCCATTTTAAGGATGGAAAAATATAGTTTGCGCCCCGGCGCATGAACTAAGAGGGTTTTGCTTATTTTCTTAATGAGTTATGGGTGTCTTTTGAGCATAATGTGCATTAAACCAGAGTTTAATTCAGAGTTTTATCTCCCATTCCCTTTAAGAACCAGTTGCACTACACCATGGAGCAAATGCTATTTACACTGCAGACTTTGTAATTGAAAAAACTGAATGTTTCACTTGCAAGAAAACAGTTAAACAGGAGTTCCTTCACGGGACTCCACACTTGTAAACAATCGCTCCATTGGGCTCGCGTCCAGCTCGCGCCATTCGCGCGGCTCTCTGTCCCGCCCAGACTCGTCAGCGCTACGTTGCCGACCAATCACAGAGCTTGCGCTACGCAACGTTGCGGCGTGTAGTTGAAATTTTTAAGAGGTGCACGTCAGCGACGCCAACGGCCACGGCGAAGGGCTATGCGTCAGCGCCGTAGCATACGCTGGTGTTTGACGCAGAAGTATAAATCAGCCTTGAGCCTGTACTTGGCCTCTTTACTTTACTTTTACTCTTTACTTTACTCCTTTACTTTTCTGGATAAGAAAACTGTGTTGTACGCACTCCACTATAGACATCCATTAGCCAACATATTTAATTTCATTTGGTAAGCGCAAAAATTTGTTTAAAAACTATTTCTAAATTCAGCTCCAGCAAATGAATAAATGAACAATAATAACGAAGTGTGGTCAAAAACTGGGTTATATCAAAACACACGTCTTATTCTTGTGCCCCATATGGTGACGCAGAAGTCTCCAAAACCTGGGAGATGGACACATTTAAACTTGTTTTCAATAAAACAAATATAAGTATGCATATAATAAGTAATAAAATAATAACATTATAGAAATGCTAATTGTCATGAATAAACTGAAAAAGCCCCCAAACCTAAAGGCATGGAGGCAGTGTTTTATATATATATATATATATATATATATATATATATATATATATATATATATATATATATATATATATATATATATATATATATAGTGAAAATAATACTATTTGTAACATTTGAATCCTTTATTTATTTTTCATATGTAAATATATTTGTGCATTGCTGTACAATCTGTGTGTATTAAACAATCTGTAAGTGTTTGAACTTGCAAGTTCAAAATATAAAAGTTGCAGATCAGCTTTTAGTTGGTCGATGTCGCAGTCTTTTTTTAGTTCCTCAATGCACCAACAATACGCATTTACACACCTCCTTTATGGACCAGCACTCCCATGAATCCACAAAGTGGGGCAAATTGATTTGCTATTTAAACAATGTGGTGCAAAACATGAAATTTAGGGTTGTGCTGGTCTGAAAATAGTAGCAAATTGTGCCATACACATCTTGGGCATTAATGCGCTGGGTGTATGATAGAACCCCATATCTGAACTTGGCACCAGACCAATCTTACTTTTTTTGTATGTGATTTTCAGGAACTGTGACTGAGAAAAGTTGTACGGTGCAGACAGCAGTTGTGCGTTCTTTATCAGAACCTCCCTCTGCATCTCCACCAGTGTCCCCATCGCAACCAGAGGAGCAACAGAGACCTGTCGACCCATCCGACATCATTCTATCTCTATCTCCAACAAACTCTGAACCAGAAAGAACAGAGAAAGGGGAGAAAAAAGAGGATGCTGAAGCAGAGGAGTGTGAGGAAACAGTGGTGGGTGAAGTGCAAGATGAAAAGAAGGAAGAACCAGAAGGAAACTTTGAGGATGAGACTAATGTGACGGGTGCAGAAGACTGTGAGAGGGAGAAGACGTTGGATAGAGAAGTAGAGGAGAGTGCCATCCTAAGTGAAAAGGAGAAGCAGAATGAAGAACTGAATGAGAAAGATAACTGCTCTGCCTCCAGCATCTCTTCAGCCAGCAGCACTCTGGAGAGAGAAGAAAGAGAGGAGAAACATGTCAGTGACAGCAACTCAGGTGAGAACTACACAGAAATCTCAAATATTATAGTATGAGTTCAACAGAGAGTCTGCTAATGGACCAAAATGAAGATTTCACCTGCCATATATTTATTATCTGCGATGGATCTATGTTTAGCTTTGTTGTATATAGAAAAATACAAACAAAACCATTAAACAATTGTATAAAACGTGATATATAAGTTTGAAACACTATAGATTTTGATCATCTGTGATTTGGTGTTTTTTTGTTCATGATTTTACTTTTGTGGCAAGCAAAAAGGGATACTAAGGCCCAATCCCAATTCTATTTTGTACCCCTAACCCTTCCAGTCCCCTTAGCCCTACAAACAGAGTGTGAAGGGGAAGGGCTTAAAAATTTACCGCTAAGAAAAGCGACAGCACTACAGCACCTGCACATGTCATCATATGTCATTGCGATCTCTTGCTTCATATGAGATCAGATGATCGCCACAGCTGTAGTTATTCCAGTTGCTTTATTTTTTTGTATTTATCTTCATAAAATCACTGAGGGCAACGATATCATGTTATCATAACGATCTAGTGTGGCAATAAGCTTGTAGCTGTACTGTGCGTTTACACTGTGACCAAATTCATTAATGTAACAACATTAACAATTTACCAGACATCTCAGCCAATAGACTTTTCTGACAGGGTATTCGAGTGTCATCGAGTATCATTATGTTGTGGGACTGCTGTACAGGAGTTATTATTGGGGATTTTATATATATATATAGGACGTCCAACACCTAATCAACTGGTGTGTCAATAACGATTTGGTTCTGAACACCTCCAAAACAAAAGAGATCGTTGTTGACTACAGAAGAGCAAAAAGGACACCACCAACCCCCCTCCACATAAATGGCGAGGAAGTTGAGAGGGTAAACAACATCAAATTCCTAGGCCTACATCTGACAAAAGATCTCACATGGACCATTAACACCACCCACTTAGTGAAGAAAGCTCAACAGAGACTTTTCTTCTTAAGAAAACTCAAGAAAACAAAAGTACCGACCCAGCTCTTACTAAATTTCTACAGGAGCACGATAGAGAGCATCCTCTGTCACTGCATCACAGTGTGGTACACAAGCTGCACTGCGGAAAACCGGAGAGCTCTATCCCGGACTGTTAAGACTGCACAGAGGATCATAGGAATTAAACTCCCAACCCTCGATACAGTCTACGCTAGCCGCCTACAGAGGAGAGCTAGCAACATCATTAAGGACCCTACTCATCCAGGACACAAACTTTTTGCACTACTCCCATCAGGGAAAAGATATAAAGCAATTAAGACTCGCACAAACAGGCTAAAGAGCAGCTTCTTCCCCAGAGCTGTAGCCTGTGCCACGCCTCCTCTCTGTACACATTAACAATCACCCCCCCCCTCCCTCACTCCCTACCTTTCTGATGTTCTGCTGCTAATGCACAAAGACACTTTATGGATATCCATGTTTGCACTCATTTGCCATAATGTAAATACTGTGACTATTACACTTAGTATATTTTTATCTTACATCTTATATTTTTAGTATTATGTCTATTGTTGGTTTTTATGTGACTTATTACATTTAGTATACTTTATCTTGCCTCTTATATTTTAGTATTATGTCTATTGTTTGTTTTTCTCTCTTTTTATGTTGCTGCTGGTCTCTGTGAGTTACCAAACAAATTTCGTTGTACAACTACAATGACAATAAAGTTCTTTACTTTACTCTTTACTCTTATATATATATATATATGTGTATATATATGTAGGTTTTTATTTAAGTTTTTGAAATTTTTTTTTTTTTTAAGCATGACGATAAAACACAAACGCCGATATGAATGTATTAGAACAGGTGTCAAACTCAGTTCCAAAAGAGCCGCAGCTCTGCACAGTTTAGTTCTAACCCTAATTAAACACACCCGATCAAACTAATTGAGTCCTTCAGGCTTGTTTGAAACCTACAGGTAAGCGTGTTGGAGCAGGGTTGGAACTAAACTGTGCAGGGCTTCGGCCCTCCAGGAATTGAGTTTGACACCCCTGTATTAGAACATATGCTTGTTTATCAAAAAAATTGTAATAATGACAAAAAATACTAATTTGTGTTTCCGGGTGGAGCTATGCAGCCATTGCGATTGGTGTATTCTGTGAAATTGTCTTGTGCCTTTGTTTCGAGTGTAGTCCTGAAAAGTCTCTCTTTCAAGGGCTATCTAGCCCTTCCACTTAGCCCTACGCCTTCAAGATAAAGTGATTTGGTATGCCCTTACCCCTTCACATGAACGAGCAAAACAAGGGGTAGGGGTAAAGGGAAGGGCTAAGAGGTAGAATTGGGATTGAGCCTAAGAGATCTCCAAAGTTAAAAAGTAATTTTGTTTGTAATATTGTATTGTTTATTGTAATAGATTTCTGTAATTGCATGTATAATTACACTGTTGAGCCATTCTTTATACCTTAACCCAGCCTTAAACCTACCCGTAATGACCAAACTGCCACTAATCTTACCCAAATCCCACCTCAATGACACCAAAAATGTTGGGCAATACAACACAAACACAATAAATAGTGTTTGTGTTGTAAGTACACATTGGTTACAGTATATCTCAAGCTTTTTTTCTTATTAGTGCTAGGCTATGGCATGTTTGTGAAGAGGTGTGTGTAAAAATTCCACTAATTCTTGAAATTTTCTTACAATTTGGACTCTTAGGTCAATGGGCAGACTGTATAAATACAGCAGACAACAACGATCAGTGCAACAAAGTTCTTAACAGCAAACGTTTCATGCTGGACATGCTGTATGCCCAAAACAAGGAAGGAGAGGAAGATGAGAAAGAAAAGGAGAACGAAAATGAGAAATGTTTAGGTCAGGACTCTACTGTGACAAGCCTTGCTAGCCGAATTTCCACTCTGGAATCACATCGGCAGACATGTGAGGACAACTTGAAGAAACTGGAAGTGGAGCATCTGGAAAACCAGGGCAGCGTGCGGGCTGTAGCTGAGAAATTTGGAGATTTGGTCAAAGGCATGTTATCACCTCATGACTTGGAGAATTGTGGGAAGGAAAAGCAGCAAACACAGGAAAAGCCTCCACCTGCTCCATCACCAGCACCCCCAAAAAAGGAGTCGGACCACATATGGGACCAGCTAATGGCAACGCCACGGGAGCTTCGTATCAAAGAGCTGGATTTCACAGACTTGGGAGAGGAGGACGATGTGGATATTTTGGACGTGGGGAACATGATTGGGTCAGGTGACCTCACTCCACCTCCTCCACCACCGCCCTGCTTGCCCAACCTTCCTCCCCCGCCACCTTTATTTGGATGCCCTCTGCCTCCCCCAGTCCCTGGCATGATGATGCCCCCTCCACCACCCTTTTTGGCGTCAAAACCTCCAGCACAATTGGGATCTCCTCAGCTTAGTCGAGGAGAACCACCGCTCTTCCAAAAGAAGAAGAAGACCATCAGGCTATTCTGGAATGAGGTGAGACCGATTGACTGGCAGTACACCAACCACAAGAGATGCAAGGAGTCACTCTGGTCCAAACTGGATCCCATCAAACTGGACACAGCCAAATTGGAAAACCTCTTTGAGACGAAATCTAAGGAGCTGCCAGTTACAAAGGTATCAATAAAAGATTTTTACTGTCTTCTTGCACTTAAAATTTTCACTTGTGGATTGGAAAATGTGTGCTAATAGACTTGGAAAAAATGAAACCAAGCAGGGGGGCATCAGTCATTTTAGAGGTCTTATCTAAAATGGAATGTCATTCATAACTAGTATAACTAGTATAGCATAACTAGTACTGATATACCTAACAAAGAAACATTCTTGTTTTTTAACTTTCCATATTTGCTGAACAAAGTCTGGTACAGGACAATATTAAAAACAAGATCATATCTAGGTTTATCCCTGCTAAAAAAATCCAGCTTAAACCAGCCTAGGCTGGTTGACTGGTTTTAGCTGGGTGACTAGGCTGGTTTTAGAGGGGTTTTGGCCACTTCCAGGCTGGTTTCCAGCCATTTCCAGCCTGGTCTTAGCTGGTCAGGCTGGAAAATGACCAGCTAAATCCAGCAAAGACCAGCTTGACCAGCCTGGTTTAAGCTGGACATAGCTGGTTTTGGCTGGGCTCCCAGCCTGCTAGGCTGGTCAAGCTGGTTTAAGCTGGTCATCCACCAGCCTAACAGCCAAGCTGGTTTTAACCCATCTCACCTTTTCATCTTTTATCAGGGGGAGCTCTTAAGAGCTACCTAATCTTGGACCCCATTACATGCTCATTAGCTGTGTTTCTACTGTCGCGCCTAAAGCAAGCAACCCAAGGCCAGTCGCATTTCCACTGTCACTTCCAGGGGTGGCCACTTCTAGCCTTATAGGCTGGGGTCTTTTTGCTTATGATCGCCCTTATGTTTCTCTTTTAAATGTAAGGCTGTTGCATTAAAAAAGTTTTATTTATAAGTGACATTCTTTGCTGCGTCCTCATTAAATAATGCATTATAATCTTTGCACCTTATAAAAGATAGCAGACAGTAAAGGTTTTCGAGAGTTTTTCTTTTTTTTTTTAGTTTAAAAGGTGTGTTTGTGCACGTTTAGGTGCCTGTATGTGAATGTGAGACCAAGCAAAAGAGTGCTCCCTGCAGCTCTGTTGATGCCGTGAGCGGCTTTATTCTGTTTTTTTTTTTTTTTGGAGATAATACACTATGAATACAACAGAAAGACATCAAAAATTTACAAATTATCTGTCCACTTTTGTAGATTCAAATTATTAGTGTCATATCTCGATAAAATAGCCTAAGCTATATTGAAATAATTAAAAGAATTACAAATATCGGATATAATAAAATTGCATAAAATGAATAAACCAATATAAAACAAACAAAAGCTAGCAGTAACAATGTAGGCATATACATTACAAAAATCAAATCATTTTAAAGCCATATTAAACTTACATTTTATAAAGGCCTATCTGAAAAAAAAAAGATTTTAGATATTTTCTAAAAACAATAAACACCAGAGAAGGTTTAAAATATAATTTATAATGTATTTGGATTCGATGAAATTAATCAAATTGTGCAAACAGAACATTTTTGGGGTGAGTAAAAGCAGGCTCCCTTTTTTCTGTCATCCATCTAAATCTGGATGTTATAAAATACATTTTCTACCAAGTTATTAATGGTGAATTTCTGTGCTTTTATATTATGGATGGATGCGCTCACTACGTTGGGTCCCTCTGTTAGTGGCGAGACCATTCGATGCACGATGCCAACAGTTGGTCAGCGAGTAAATATATTTAATGAATGAGATCACACAGGCATGTGCGTATAGACATATAATGCTGTACAGTAACGTGCAATGTGTTTGTTTCGGTTGTCTTCATTTTACTCGTTTCGTGATGATGCGAGGGGTGTGCTTTATCTGCCTGATTCCCACTGAAGTGGACAGGTTGTGTGACGTTCGATTAGGGGGATGTTCTGGGGGCAGGGTTTGTGTGACGCGCTGCGAGCTACTAGTCTGACAGTGGAAACGCGTCATTATTCTGGCCTCACTACTAAACCTCCCGGCCTGATAAAAGCCCTGGCTCGCACTGGCCCGACAGTGGAAATGTGGCTAGTTACTCTCCCGGGACAGCATGCCAAACCTGCTATTATTATCAAGCAATTTCTAAGTCATGAAATTTTTAACTCATGAAAAATGAATTATTCCAACAATATGATCCAGTTTTAACATAAATAAGGGCATCACAACAAATGGATTCATAGAAATGAAATTCAATTATTGATCAGTCGATTTAAATGTAATTATTTTTTTAAGAAGCTTTTTTTTTTAATTAACATTTTACCTGCTATTTATGTCTTATCCACAACAAACTACATGCACACATTTTTTCTGTTTTTCTTTCTTTTATTGGTCTATTGTTCTGGCATCCTTAAAAGTAGACCTTGTCTAGATCTGGCAAGCAACAGCCTAGCATAAAAGTGGCAAAGTTTATATTGTAAAAAAATATATACATATTTTATTGTTCTACTTTATTTTTACCTGGCTTTAGTCAGCACATGTGAATCAAAAGCAAAGCTGTTATTAAGTTACTTTGGTCCTTTCTAAAGCTTTTTTTATCCCAGCTTTTCTCCAAGCTTCTTGAACACATGGTATGAATTCTGACACCTTCCACTGGCCTGCAAACAACTCTCTCTCTCTCTCTCTCTCTCTCTCTCTCTCTCTCTCTCTCTCTCTCTCTACATGATTGCATGTGTTTAGAGGAGCCCTGCAGAATGTAGGTCACGATGGTAATGGGCTGCTTGATTGGCTGTAATGGATTCTTGTATTACCTAAAAGCTTCATCAAAGTGCTTTCTGAGATGCATGAAACCTGCTGTCACTCTGAACAAACTCAAGTCAAGCTTATCTGAAACATTACCAACCTAATCAGAGCAGCCTGTTGTGCAGATCCCAGAGTTTGTATGTGTGGTGAACGCTATCATTCCACGTTGTATAACATACTTCTTTCAACTCTTTTTTTCATGTCCATAGATAAATCTATGACTAAACAGAATGACCGTTGTGTGTTCACCATGCACTGAAGATGAATTGATGTTTTTTTTAAGATGAAGGTCTATCATGGATTTTGGCTCGTTCACTCTTAGTTGGTGTCTCAGAAATGTGGCCTGCATGGGGTTTTCTCTCCTCTCTGCTCTGAGCAACCTTTCCCAGCTGTTTTTCATTTTCGGCTCGTTCTCCCTTTCTTTTTTTCTCAATTCCCATTATTTGCAGCAGGCAGAGGACCATCGTGGCTCTGCTCCTCCAGAAATATTCTTCATCAAAGTCACAAAAATAGCCTTCAGGTGCTTGCGTGCCTTTTCAGCAAGTAAACACTAAACACATCCCAGCTTCGTGTTCATATCTCAGGAAGCCATTTTTGAGGTAATTATCCACATTAAAGAAATGCCTTTCCTATTCAGTTTAGTGGTCAGTAAGAACAGGCTGAGAATCCAGATTTCATATTGGGTGTGTGAGAGTAGATGTGTATCGCAATGGTTGAAGCAGCTTCACTGTGGGAACTAGAATCCTTTCTTATTATTATTAGTGTTGAAAACAGTGGTGCGTAATCGTTATATTGTCAGGAATATTAGCTAAATTAAAGTATATATATATATATATATATATATATATATATATATATATATATATATATATATATATGTGTGTGTGTGTGTGTGTGTGTGTGTGTGTGTGTGTGTGTGTGTGTGTGTGTGTGTATATATATATATATTTTTAACAATAATGAAAAATGTTTTATTCTCATTGTTGATTGTTTTAATGCATCCATGCCCAATACAAGTATTGCTTTTACTTACTATCACTATTACTTACTGTTTTTTTTCAATCACAGGGTCAGACCAACAAAGCATTATGTGACAAAACAATATTTAAGTGATAAAGATCGAAATGTAATAGCATAAATAAAGATTGAACAACTGTATTTTCATTAACTAACATTACCAAAGATTAATAAATACTGTAACATATGTATTTTTCCTGTTAGTAAATACATTAACTACATGTCTCGTACTGTAAAGTCTTTCCCAATATGAAAAAAAATAATGTCATATCGGGCATCACTGGTCGTTGGTTCGACCCCTGATTAATAAAGGGACTAAGCTGTAAAGAAAAAGAAATAATGCTATATAAATATGTTACATAAATACCTATAACAATGAAAAAAAAATTTATAAATAAAAGAGCATAGAAACTGTAAACACTTAGGGCCCTATCATACACCCGGTGCAATGCGGTGCAAGGCACGACGCAAATGATATTTGCTAGTCTCAGCTTGACACAATGGTCATTTTCACGTTTTGTGCCATGCTGTTTAATTAGCAAATGCATTTGTGCTCATATGTGCACTCATAGGTTTCTGGTCTAAAAAGGAGGTATGTTAAGGCGCATTGCTGGCGCATTCCTATTTTGAGGAACTAAAACAGATTGCACAATAGACCAGCTCAAAGCATGTCTAAAGTCCAACGCAGAGGGCGTTAGTTATATGCCTTAAACGCTTACACATTGCTTAATACACACAGGATGTACAGCAATAGGTAAATATCTTTACAAATTAAAAAGAATTAAATAGTGAAATTATTGCAATAATTATTACTTTCTACATAAATATAAAAAAGACTACCTCCATGCCTTCTTCATCTTGGGAGGCTTTTTTAGTTTATTCATGACAATTTACTTTTGTATAATATTATTATTAGCAGTAATATTTATTATATGCATATTTATAATTGTTTTATTAAAAACAAGCTTAGATTTGTCCACCTGCCACACTTCGTTATTATTGTTCATTTAATTGTTTGCTGGAAATTAAAACTAAATTTAGAAATAGTTTTGAAACAAATCTTTGCTCTTAACAAACTAAATTATTATGTAGGCTAATGGATTTCTGTGCGTACAACATGTTTTCTTATCCACGAAAGAGAGAAAATGAAAGTGAAAGTAAAAGCCGATTGGAGGAAGCTTATCTCTCATTCTCGCACTGCAGATGCTCTGTTTAACTCTTTTCTCTCTAGTAAAGCATTCAGTTTTTCCACTTACAAAGTCCACCATGTAAATAGAAAACACAACCCAGGA